CATTTGGTTCAAGACAGTGACGATATTTCTTTTGCCTGCCTCGTGTTCCTCTCGTCGAGACGCGTCGAATGAACTATACGTTGACCTTGAAAGGTTATTTTAAAAGTTTGACCGCAGGTCAAGGTCATGACCTGACCGTAAAGGGCCATTCTGCAGATCAGTCGATCCGTATCGTCGAGCTGACCACATCTGACGTGTTTTCACCGCTCTAGCACGTCTCCATTAAAAGATGAAGCCAAAAAACCGTTTATGGTGATAAAATAGGTGACCGCTTATGACCTGAGATGACCTCAAGGGCACATAAAAGGACACATGTGCATTTTTACGATTCAGTGTGCTATGTTTACCTATGAACCGATGTTTAAGGGGTTTTAAACGACATTCGTCCAAAAGAGGCGCATTTCACTTTTCTCCCACTGACTTGAGGTCCCAAAATTGACCTGACCTTAGGTCACAGACATAAAAAGTCCGAGATGAACATTTTATGCATATTGTTAGTCTTATCAATCTCTAAAAGTTTCAAAAGTGATCGTTCTGTCGGTGTAGCTATAGCGGGTCTTTTAACTTTTTTTAGGTAAGGTCACTTGACGTGCCCTAGTGACCTGACCTTGAACGACCCTCATCTGAAATTTAACGAGCTGTGTAGAAAAGATGTATGAACAGGTGTACCAAAGACAGCGGAGGCGCTGCGCGACGCCGTTTTTGAGATGTTCGCGAGGAAAAAACCTAAGGGGGCGTACCCCCCCCCCCCTCCAGCACGGCGCGGATCAATGGGAGACAGTTGAAATGCTCTTCTTCTGAACGAAAACAACCTCAACCATCGGGATGCAGGTAAATATGACACATTTAATCGGTAAATGTCACTCGTGATGTGACCACTTTTATGTTACTGAGGTCATCTCAGGTCATGAAAGGTCTCCAGTAGATTTTGGACAATAACTTTTGATAGAGATATGGTAGAGCAATGAAACACCCTATATAATTATTTTCCTTCTCGAAAGTATGGATCGACTAATATGCAATATGACCTTTACCGGTTAGGTTATGACCTTTACCTTAGGTCAAATTCTCAAATGCCCTTTTAATGTCAAATTCTAGTTCATTTGACTTGTCTGTCTCGAAAAATGGAACACGATGCTGGTTGAACTAATCTCATGCAGGTCTGAGCAAAATGTAAACGTCCTCCGCGAAAACGTATATTTTGAGGCTAAAACGTTTACCTTAGGTCAAATCTGAGATAATCAATAAGAGAGAGCATAAAAAAGAGCTATCGAATATGCGCTTTGCTGCGGCGCTGTAGTTCAATCTCTTTCTGAATCCTGACTTATGCGCCGCTTTGTCAAAAAATGTCAACATCGGCGAAATTTGATTTTCGGTTGTCGCTGGTGACCTGACCTTCGACCAGTTCGACCTAGCCTTAAAATGATCTAAGTAGTTTTGTAATAGTTTTTGACGCTCTTTCGAACGCCGCCTACTGCGTGTCTCGACGTGGCCCACAAGCTGAGTTAGAAGTGGGTGTTCGAACACCCCCAGCAGGTTCAATAAAAAAACGCTTACGCTGGGGGCGGCACCCCACTGCTAGGCGCTGTCGGCATCGCAATAATGGGCGGCACAGCGCTGAGGGGCGCAACTTGCATTGAGGGGTGGCATTGTACGGTGAAGGGGCAGCGTCGCGTTGAGGGGCGGTATCGCAACGAGGGTGGCACTTACAAGGCTGCCTAATAAGGAACGCTTCGCTTGGCACATCCAAGCCCAGCTCGGCGCCGCCTAGCTGCTGCATCTTGAAAAGGGCCCTTGGTGTCGATGAGAAAGCCCCATTGTCAAAAAATTGCCTAGCGTCAGTGGTTTCGGGGGGGGGGGGCGACCGAAGTATCCAATTCAGTTTCGCGTCAGTGACTACTGGAGGGCGTCAACGACCTCGGATAGGGCGAATGTGATCTTCAGAAGGGCACCGGGTGCTCTAGAGGGGTGCAATGCTTGGATGGGGTCACTGCTGCCTTCAGTAGGGCATCGGACGCTCTGGAGGGGCGCCATTGATCTCGGATGGTCCGACTGGGATTTTCAGAGGAGCATCAGTGGTTTCAGAGGGGCGCCATTGATCAAGGATGGGCCGACTGAAGCCCCGGTTCAGGTGAGCGCCAGTGGCTCTTGAGGGGCGCCAGCGACCTCGGATTGATGGGGCGACTGTGATCTTTAGAACGGCGTTGAGGGGCGCCATTGGGCATGGATGGGGCCACTGTTGCCTTCAGCAGGGCGCCGCAGGGAGGCTCTGGAGGGGCTTGAGCTTGGGTGGGCCGACTCATGTAGTCTCCAGGGGCGTTGTCTCGGATGGGGCGAATGTGATTTTCAGAGGGGTGCCGGGTAGTCTAGAAGGGCGCCATTGGTTTCAGAGGGCTGCCATCGATCTTAAGATGGGGCAGCTGTAACCTTCGTTTAGATGGGCGTGATCTTCAGAAGCGCGCCGGACGCTCTGGAGGGGCGTCATTGGGCTTGAATGGGGCGACTTTAGTCTCAAGCGGGACGACTTCAGTCTCAAGGGGGTGGGGCGCTAGTGGCTCTTGAGGGCGCTATTGATCTCGGGTAGGGCGACTGTGATCTTGAGAAGAATGCGGGTGCTTTAGAGGGGCGCCAGTGGTTTCAGGGATCGATCTTGGATGGGTCGATTGGGGCAGCTGTGAACTTCAGAGGGGCGCCGGGTGCTCGAGGGGCGCCATCAAGCTTTAATGGGGCGACTGTTCCGTTTAGGTGGGTGCCAGCGGCTCTTCAGGGGCGCCATCGACCCTGGGGGTTCGGAATATTCTGGTTTCCGGAGGGGCGCCCTTCAACATTTGGGGGCTCAGGTCGTATTTGGGGGTGCCCTGGAGATTATTTAGGTGTCCAGGCACCCCCAAAGAGATATTGAGTTCGATCCCTGCCTGCACATCACTTTTTAATTCATGTTCTCTCTGTAAAACGGCATCAGCCTAGTCGGCGCTAATTGGGGCGCCATTTGGGCGGCTGGGCGGAAAGGGGGGCCATGGCCCCCATGGCCCCCCCTGTCTACGCCACTGCGGCCGAGGGTACTGAAAGTTTCGTCGCGATTGGCCGCTTTTTGCGCGAGTTATTCGCGAAAAACCATGGGGGGGGGGGTCCATCCGACCCCCCTACAGGGGAAGTGGGGGTAACACCGCCCCCCTAAGCTTTTCGCCAAAATGAGAGGATATGTGTGTAGTAGTCTCTTGGTAGTTATTGTCTTGGTTACAATATTTAAACATTTTCTCGTGTTTTAGGCACTAATTTTGCATGCTCCTAAAAGGTTTTCATGTATCACGACTTTTAAAAATACCTTGCATATTTGCCACCTACAAATTGTGTGGGTAACCCCGCCACCGGTGTTGATGTTAACCCAACACCCATCCCTACGAAAGCTTTTCATCGTTCAGAGATCGCGTGCGATGAGTTTCCTGTCGGTGTGGTAATTTTCGCAAATAATCGGTAATGGACACATAAATAGGTAGGTATAGGTTCATCAGCTGTTTGCCAGTTTTATACAGGTGGCAAGTGCTTGGTCGGGATGCATGAAAAATATAAAGTAAAAAAATCACTAATAAGCTGCTTATTCCCGACTTAGGAACATCTACGAACAAAAATAAAGCATGTCTTTGGAGTTTCATCACTTATCACGCTGCGAACAGGAAACACCGCAACCTCAATTGGGGGAACACCGCCACGGGGTGGCGGTGTTCCCCCAATAGGTAAGTGATCACAAGCAAAAATCGCCAGCGGCAAGAATGTACTACACGGTTCAAGCAAACCTATCTTACTGGACAAAGCCGATCAGTTATTTTTCGACGTAATCAAGTAAATCAAAATGAGTCTCTACTTAAAGACATTCAAAAGTGCTCCCAACTCATCGAATTTTTATAAGAGAATGTGCATTTTTCTTTAAATGCCCACATTGAGCCTCGATTACACTGAAACACCGGAACACAAATCAGAAGACAAGACGCTTGCCTTCGTGCGATTAATAGGAAATAACGGATTTTCACACTTAATAGTTCATACTTTCGCCGCCAGATGGGGTGGCGGTGTTTCCCACAGTGGCGGTGTTCCCCCCGCTTCCCCCACATGCGAGGGTTAAAGGGACCCTCCCACCTTAACATTAGATTTGAGTTGAGATAGCCAAAATGGGGTCCCTGGCTCACAATTACCGGTTTCGGCACTAACAACATCGAGAAATGCCTTAAATCGGAAATATTGAATTTCAAAATTGCAGCATTTTGATTCAGAGGGGCTAATGCATAGGAATACCCCTCTGAATGTGTGACGTCAGCGCAGATATCTAACGATTTTTACATGTTTGACTAAAACGTTTTGTAGCACGCGGTGGTATATGCTGCTTTGCGCGCAACAAGTGCCGCACTTTCAGCTGCCAAACTATTGCTTCCAAATAAAGTCGCTAGGAACAGCGGTGATCCCGAAAAGTAAACAAAAGTAAAAGTCTAATATCTTGAAAACCGGTGAATATTTTTCGGTGAAATTTGGTAGATATTCGTTTTTGCTCTTTCTGAACCGAGCGACATCACTTTCATGCCAATTCATAAACTTTTTTGAAGGTGGGAGGGTCCCTTTAAGAGTGACCGAGAACAAAAGCTTTAAGCTGATCTGACCTTGACATGACCTCCTGACCCAACCTTAGATTAGGTGTAGCCTGTAGGTAGATAAGCAAGATCATTTTACCCACAATCATTTTTTTAATTTTAATCACACAAACTATTAGAATGGATTGGTATTGGGGCATTGAAATGATAATATTTCAGTTCCACAACTAATTTGCATACCTAAGATATTAAAATGATTAGACGTAAGTGCTTCATCACTACACATACATGACCACAGACAATAACGCCTGGGGCCCTTCAGAGCGGCGTTCTGATTGGTCGCTGCTCCGTGTCGGCGCCGGTGATTGGCCGCGGCCCGGCGGCGGAACGGTAACGGTGTCGGGTCGGCCGCGAGGGGCTGCTGCCGCGCTCCGGACGTCTCGTGTGACCTGGCGGGCAGCGAGGCGCCGCGGAGCGCGCAGGGCAGATCAGACGGGCGGCTCGGCTCGGCTGCTGTGGAGTGGCGAGAGGTGGTGCCTCGTGGTGTGGTGCTCTGTGAGAGGCAGGGAGAGCGCTGAGCTCCGTGTCTGAGTGTGGAGAGCCGAGTTGAGCCGGCTGAGTTTGGCTGTGTTGAGCTGTGCGGAGCGGAGTGGGGCGGCCGTGGAGGCACATTAGCCGAGTTGGTTCTAGCAGCAAGCGTCTTTTGGAGCAGCCTTGGTCAGAGATAAAACAATGACGACATTGTTGGGAATGCGGAGGTGAGTGCCATGCGGAAAATCCGCACAGAATCACCATGCTGCAACCGTCAATTTGATTGTTGTAGCCGGATTAGTTAGCATCACTGACTTCCATAACGTTTTAGTAAGACTGTTTAAACTCCAACCGTGACACTCGGGTCTCGCTCAATACTTACACTTGGAGGGGACCACTAGTCTCCGTTGTCACCAGCACGGCCGAGCGAACAGGTCACTGAACCTGTCAGGACACTCGGAGCGGCGCTCGGGAGACTTTATGCGGCACTCAGCCACTCATGGGTGCACTCAGGGCACCCATGGCTGCACTCAGTAGCCAGGATAATCGAGGTCACTCTCGGGACATTGCCAGTGGACCGTCAGACACCGTCGTCACCAGGGGTCACTAACCCGGCGACCGCCACACCGAAGGCCAGCCGTACCTATATGGGTCAGCACGTGCCCCACCGTGCTGTATTCAGATCAACACCTCCGTGTGTGCTGACTATTCGCAGTCCTGTGTGTAACGGCTATTTGCGACCCGGTGTGGCAAGATCCCGATTACCATACACGGGGTCAAATACCTACCGCTCTAAGACCGGCAGTGTGCGGACCTGTGCGGTGTGAAGACGGAACGGATCATCGAGAGCACCCCTGGATCACACATAAGTCACAGGCACCGTGACTTAAAACACGGCTCATGGCTTCCTTCCTCCCACCATATCCGTCCGTTTCCGGCCGTAGACTGCTTCCGTGACACGCTCAGCGCACGACCTATTTCTCACCGCACGGCGCCGGCGGCCGAACACTCCAACGGAATCCAAAGCAATCACTCGGCGGTTTCTGTATACGAACAGCTGACCACCAGCTGACGCCCAACATTCAAACGGTCTGAATATCGTGAGCAGCGAGTCATGTCTCGCGAGGCGGCAGACCGTGCCTCGCGCGGCAGCGCGCGTCGGCTTCGCTGTGTCGCGCTCTGGCGGCAGCGCCGGCGGCCGGTGTTACCGTTATATCCTGGCAGTGCAGTCTCCGGCGGCCGGCCGGGCGGGCGGCCCGCCGAATAGGCACAGCGCGGACACCGTGACGCCCCGTGACGTCATGCCTCTGATGACGTCACCGGCGCCACGTGCCGCGGCAGCAGACGGTGTGACGTGTAGACGACGAACCGTAACACTGCGTGTCCAACGGTTCCCACTTGCCTAATGACGGAAATGTGGCCTGGTCGACATTACCACGGACCGCGCTGGTGGTCAGTTATTTATTCCAAACGCGAGTGAAATACGACAGAAATCAACACACTGACGTGCTGTGCCTTTGATCATCCCCAGTTTCTAATTTTACCAATTACCTAAACTTGTCAATTGCAAACCCCCTAACCTCCCCTTGAGGTCTATGCTCTTCTTGCCGAGCCATTCCGAAAACCAGGCGCCTTCTTGGTCATCACTAACTTGACTAGATATCAGAGCAGAAAGTCTGCAGTTTGTTTGCTGTTGGAAGCTAAGCCGCTTTCGTGACGCTTGACCGAGTGACTCTCGACCGCTGTCAGTTGACCGAGTGACACTTCTGCGTGGTGCCTGACTGCGTGAGTTGCAGTTTCCATGGTGACACATCTGCTGCCCTGGCTGCCCCGCCTCTCCTCTATTCGAGATATCCAGAGCGGTGGCGAGATACGCTCTCTGGAGTAGAGTTTCCTGATTTTTTTTGGCGGGTGGGGGTGGGGGGTGGGGGCGTGATAAAATTTGTTGGACAGGCAGGCGCGCGTTTGCTGAACATTAACAACTATAAATACCAACTTGTTTTACAACAAGGCCTGCATTATTTTTGGCAGAACTTTCTCATCAGCACTAAACACAGTAATTTGCATTGCTTGCCCCGATGTGAGATAAAATTAATTACATAAAAATGCATCTCGCACTTGCAAGCGAGCTGCCAGCTAGGCTCCTTGGCTTTTTACGAGTGAGTAAGAACATCTTGAATTTGTTTACTTATAGGTCTAATGGCGAATATCTCGTAAAAATAGATAAATTGCAATGATGTTTTCAGTAGAAGCCCTATAAGAATGTTGCAGCTCTTACCATTATGAGTTATGACCGCAGTGGCGGATCCAGAGGGGGCCATGGGGGCCATGCCCCCCTCCTAGGGCCTCCCGGGGGCACCATCACTGATTTTTTTTAATTCATCACGGAGGTCACCGACGGGGGCTTCAACCCAGAGGGGTCTCCCAAAGTGGGCACCATCCAGGTCTATCGGAATAGGGTACCATTTTCGGGGTCTCCCGGAGGCCCATTTCTGTCCCTTGCTTCGGGTGGGGCTATTTCCATCCCCAGGTCCGCGGAAGCACCATCTCGAGTTCTCCGGGGGCACTATCCCGAGTTCTCCGTGGGCACCATCCCAAGGTCGGAGGGGGCACCATCTCGAGGGTCCCGGGGCACCATCGCGAGGTCTGGGGGCACCATCCCGAGGTCTGAGGGCAGAGGGGCACCATCCCGAAGTCTCCGGGGGCACCATCCCGAAGTCTGTCTCCAGAGGCACCATTTCAAGGTCTCCGGGGGCACCATTCCAAGTTTCCAGGGGCACCATTCCGAAATCCGAGGTCTGAAGGAGCACTCTCCCCGGGTCTGAGGGGGCACCATGCCGAAAAGTAAGTGGCCGAAATCCGTGGATTTTTAGGGGGTGGGGCACCAAATGCCAGTGGGGCACCACAATACCGTATTCCTCCCCCTTGACGAAATCCTGGATCTGTCACTGACCGTTTACCTGGAATATCATCCTAAAGACTAGGTAATAGGGCCAGAATGGCGATCTAACGAATTCAGTCAAACGTTTGTCAGGACCCATCACACGGCATGCGTTTCCAAAACTTACTTAATTTGAGCATATTTATGAGATGGTGTTTCTTCCTCAGATTGTTTTAGTGAGTGCCAATTATTTTTTTTTTTTAGCTTCACATCGATAACGGCACGCGCCACGCAAGACAGTTTATTGTGTGCATTTACTTGGCTCATCCATCTGAAGTGAATGTGAATTTTCTTTGAAGTATTTTGCTGGGTTAAATGAAAATCCTTTCGGTATTACTTGACCATTTCAGGACCATTGGATGAAAGGATAGGGGAGATACGAGCACAGAGCTCATTCGACCTCCGCGACCGGCTGGTGGCCGCAGCGACTGAGCTCGTCCCATCTTGGTCAACCGGTGGCCTCGTTAGGACAGGCCAGCTAGCAGCTCAAACGATTACGGTCCCTCCAATCCAAATGGGCGTGCTAGTTAGTATTGGATCTGAGCTCGCCAGATGCCAAATCAGTCTCCGTTATTCTGAGTCAGGGAAGGACGATCAGTATTATTTGTGGTTTTGTACTCCAGTATTACCTATGTACTACTTACCTATCGGCCCTTCCACATTGTTATTTGTTGTATTTGATCTTCACAGGTAATCTGTTAGTTATAGGTATCTACTTTACATGAAACCTGTGCGTGACGGCAAGAGTTTCGTATCGTGACACAAATTATGTCGTGTTTGTCGTCACTGACCTTGCTGAAGTCGCCTGTTACGCCATGGTAATGTCGCTCGGGACCATTTTTACTCATTGTCCAGTTATGGGTAAACAATAATGCAAGGTAAACCGAGTGCTATAAGGTAAACTACAGCATTCGTTCACCAAACATACGTCATGATTGCATGTCTCGCCCGTTGTTTTTACTGTTAACATTTTTTGGTCACCTTCTCCCATCACCGGTGGACCGGTCATATTTTCTTTGAATATTTACATTTCTACGCATGCCCGCTCATTAGTTTTATTAATTACTTTGCTAATGTATCCAAGGATCCGATTACGCTCATTATTAGTAAAATATAACATATATCCTCCCAAACTCAGCAAGTTAACTACAATATGAACAACACGTCACACGTGTACAACTTTTGGCATGCGAAATGACCTCGGCAGGTTATGCGCTCTAATTCATCATCACGATAGAAAACATGGTGACTGCCTCAAACGTGACATTGGGAAAGAATAGGTATAAAGGATTTCACAGCTCGCTTCAAGCCCCGTCGTGCACCTACCCTTTTGGTCGCATCTCGGGTCCCGCGGTGCTGCTCGAGCACTGCCCTAGTCCTCTGGCCGGTGACCCCTGCCGGCGGACGACCTTCTCAGTCACCTCACTCACTGACCTCCCTCTCACACACCCAAGCACCACTCCACTCGCCTCCGAGTTACGACCGGCGCCTGCCCCCACCACCACCGCCACCGGCCACCACCGCTCTATGAATGAACCGGCGAGCCAGGCAAACCGGATCCGAATACATTACGGCTCAGCGGCACCGGCGAGCAGGACACAGAGCCGCGCCGCGCCGCGGGTCGGCTGGACACGACCGTCGCCGCCGGCACCGGGGGACAAATGGCTTCTGCTCGCCGGCCGGCCCGAGTGCCGGACGGTGGACGAGCCGTGCTGGAGATAGAGACAGAGACAGAGGAGACTCGGTGGAGACAGAGGACACACCGTGGAGACAAAGGAGACACGGTGGAGACAATGCCGGTACACGGGGGAGACAAAGGGACATTCGAATAGAGACAAGAACCAAGGAAGGAAAATAACACCAGCACACGACAAGTGGGGGCGTGACATAATAACAGAGAGGGATATGGCTATGAGACTCATTTATGGAGACAATATGCGTGAAAAGAGGCCTCTGCCATATGCTCAAGACATAACTGCGTAAAACTGAGCGTCAATTATCTCATGTGCGTAACTGAAGAAAATTGCTGTCGATAGGACCCAAACCAGCTGAGATCACCCGTTCCTGTCAGTATACCCGCTGCCCAGTGTGGCGGCGGTCTGGGCAGGCCGTCCCGCTGCGATCCAGCGCCGTCTGACAGTCGTGCCGGTGCGATGGATTGCCGTCTGTCGTGTCCCGACCGTGCACGGATGGACTGATCTGCAGAGATGAGCCGCTATGGTGTGTCCGGGATCCGGGACAGGTCTGTCCGCGGACCCCTCCCCCCTGCAGCGGGGAGGGGGACACGCAGCGGAGACCTCACTGACCCCCCGGGGAGAGGTCCCACGGTCCGCCGAGGCCGGGCGAGGGACTGTAGGACCGATAGAGCGGTTATACGGACTAGCGGCGGCCAGTGGTCAAGTAAGCATGCCAAGTGCCAAGGATGCCACCTACAATTCATTCTGGTACTGGAAGATCCGGATGGGATAAGCAGCTATAGGTGAACGCTTGGCGCTAATAGCCATTCTGTGAACAACTAAACCATGCTCGGCAGTCGCGCTCTTATAAATAATAACGAAACCTAACTAATAGTCTTGTTCCAGAAATTGGTCATTACACGAACAGTTTAAACACTATAGGGGAAGCCGGGGGAAGCCCGGCATAGTAAGCTCTTTTTCATTTTTATTACATACCATACGTGCTGTATAAAATGTTGATATCCTGCTAGCTAGCTAAGTTCATTGGCCGTGTTTTCCCAAAAATTCGGTTTCGTGGAATAAGTATAAGGTTGAGAAAATCGAGTTTTAAAAAAGTGTTGATTTTTCTGGGGTAAGCCCGGCATAGGGGTAACGCCGGCCACCTCCCCAGCGCTTTACAACGAGTTGATGAAACCATTATGTGTTTTCCAAATATTAACGGAAAGTGAAATATTAAGGTACTGATTAGCCCTGGACATCTTAGAGTTTATGTTACTACTGGTATTTTAGCTAACGTCTACTGCATATACAGTACAGGTCGATGAAAATCCTGATGCAAAATTGACAGAAAATGTGTATTTCAAAATTCCTTAAAATTTATTTTTCTTTTTACCTTAATGCATCATATTGCATATCATTCGACTCGGCTGATGAAGAAGAACACAACGACACCATTTTTGAAGCTCTAGCTTCATTGTCTGTCGCGTTATCTGCAAAAACGTAGTTTGACCCTAGTTGACCTTAACCCTATTCCTGGCGGGGGGGCCTCAGGAGCCCCCCCTGAGGTTTTTTGGTTATTTCTCCCAAACGCGTTGAGCTAGGAAGCTCAAATTTTGTGACTTTTCCTAAAAGGCTTCTACGCAACAGGTCTGAAAATTTTGAGTTGATCTGACCTCAGGTCAGGTCACCAGAGGCGGTTTGGTGACCCTACCTCAAAAAAGTTTGTAATCACGCCAGAGCTAGAGTTTTTGACCGATCAATTTCTTCTCTTCAGGCTTTAGTTAGGGTACCAGTATGTGCAATTTGTATATCTCGGAATTTTGATATCGGTGACCTAAGGTCAGGTCAGTTTCGCGACCTCCCCATTATAAGTCAATGGGGGAAAAATCAACTCCCTGTTTTTACCACTAAAACGGGTCGGAATGGCCCCATATACCATACATGACTTCATATACGATCAACCTTCACTACCTTGAGGTCTGTTTTGCTGTTGGGCAGCTGTGAGGTCATGTGACGTCATCAAAGGTCACCAAAGGTTTTTGGCCAATAACTCCGTACAGGAACAAGATACAGACGCGTGGATGGTCTCATTGTGTTCAGCTCGTCAAGACGCATCGAATGATATACATGATGACCTCGAGGTCACGTGACCTGAGGTCAACCTTTGACCTTGACCTTTCGAGGTCAACATATATATCATTCGATGCGGATTGACGAGAGGATCACGATGATGCCCTTAGTTTGTTCCTATCTTGACTAATTCGAAAGTTATTCGAAAAAACTCTCTCCATATCTAGCGCCGCCATTTTGACTTTTTCGACCCCTGTGACGTCATCTTTGACCTGACCTGAAAATGACCTCAGTAAAAATTGTAGATCTTGGCTGTGCGTATCCGATGCCGTTTACCGCTTGTCGCTATCTTGCTTCGTTCTCGAGATCTCAGGGGGGAGGGCCGAATCGGCCCCCCCCCCGCCAGTTTCTTGTCCCGGCGGAGCCCGCCAGGAATAGGGTTAAGTGACATGACTGGCTTTGTCTATGATAACATGTTTATTGTCGAAATTCATCTTTGATCTAGGTGTAAACCAAACCTGCTCAGTACCTATTATCTCATGGAAAACAGTGGTTTAGTGGCATTGCTCTCGGTTGGGGGTAAGCTTGGCCACTCGCCCGGGGTTACCCCAATGTGCTAATTTTTATTTTAGAACAGCGATATTTGGAAACAATGTCATACTTAGGCCAGCCTGCCTCATCACCCCTCACTACAAACACTTAAACGATCCTTTCATAGCATTCGTATAAATATTAGTACTGTATGGTATAACATTAACAGTGCAAGATATCTCACTTTTTAGCTAAAAACCCTTAAAATATCATTTTTGCGCTATAACTTTAACAATATGCAATTTTTGTCAGCCTTAACTTTTTTGCTGGCGTTACCTTAGCTGCCACGCTGAAAGGACAAACAGTTGAGCATCTTATTGTGAATAATTTAGCCGGAAACGGGGTGGCCGGGCTTCCCCCGCGCCCGGGCTTCCCCCGGCTTCCCCTAATCGTGGGCTATTTTTTTGTGTAAGCAGGCATAACTTCCACCAGCTTTGAAAACCGCATGACTGAAGGATTTGTCAATCGAGCTATAAATTGTCAGCCAGTTCTGATCAGCTCACTTATTTAAACAGCTCACGAAGATTCATTAGTCATTGTCATCTGATTTTATTTGTCATCTGGCATCTGTCATTCACCATTTCATGTGCCAACCTCCATAAATAATCGTTTCTCTTCAGCTAAACTAAGCTCCAGGACAATGCTTCAAAGAACAATACATACATTAACTTGCAGTCATAGCAACTTAAAATATGTAATTTATTTGTTTCATAGTTCCATTTTTACACTTAAAGGGACTATCCCACCTTTAACATGGGGTTTGAGTTGAGATAGCCAAGTTTGCGGCGAGGTTCAGAAACCACTATCTATCTAGGTTGCAACCCCCGCGGCCTCTTGGTGTTGAAGAAATTCGTTCCCTTCATTTGAAAATGGGCCTTGTACAAGGCCCTATCTTCAACATGGAGCGACCGTTAGTGTGACGTCACCTCGTTTAGTCATTCTGATTTAAATGGGTTTGTTCGTTGAAAAATCGCTTAAAACTTGGTCTGAACTATGTTGTGGTGCCTACAGAGTAAAAAGAATCAGCTTTATGACAGTAATGCGGCCTGGGGAAGGAGGTAATTTTGGGCTGTGACGTCACATATTTGAAAGTTTGTGTTTGGAATATGGGAAGCCTAAGATGTTTAATGAAAAATAAATGCCAGAACCGTGTTCCTGGTCATCCAATCTATAAAGTCGGACACAATTTAACTGGTTTTAACAACATTTTAGAAGGTGGGATAGTCCCTTTAAGCTTTACCAACAATGATTTATGAACGCTAATGCGACAAGCATGGAATCAAATGCGAGGATTTCGGTCACCGTATGAAATAATCCACTTCATTCCGCTGACTATTTCAGTTCAAGCCATCCAACCCACAACATCAACCGTGTTTCAGATCGATATGTGTAACCTAATCTACTCCAAATTCTCTGTGTTTGAGTTTGACGCACCTTATCATCTCCTTTCGCTGTGTTTCAGACTTTCAGTTCGTACTGCTAACACGCTGTGCCCGTTATGCTTCAGCTCGATTTAAGCTAGCTGACTTCACATTCGCTGTGTTTCAGGTCGATGCAGCTGACCCTCTCCATTTCGCCGCGTTTCAGCTCGATATAGCTAAACCACTCCATCCGCTGTGTTCCAGGTCTACGGACATGGCCTCTGGCGTGCTGATCTGCGTCGCCTGCCTGCTCTTCATCCAGTCGTCCAGCCTGCGCTCCTCCATCGACGAGATCGCGCTCTCAGCGCCCTCCAGCGCCGGTGGTACGTTCGAGCGTCGCTGTCCCGCCGGCCACCCGGGCCATTTAGCGGCTCTATTAGTGGCAGGCTCCTGGCTACCCCATATTAGTGGCAGGGGGGGGGGGGGGCTGTTTACGACCCCCCCTTGATATCTCGAGATCTAACCGGCCGATTTTCAAAATTCAAACGGCATTCGATTTGGCTCAACGAGATCTACATTTCTAAAAAAAAATAAAATTAAAAAATGTCAATAGGGGGGTAGAGGGGGGTAAAAACGGGCAAATTGCAGATACATTTTAGACTGTTTATCACGGCCAGGTTTCTGAACCAATCTTAACGCAACTTTTGCCGATCGATAGAGAATGAACCAGGAATTCACATGGATCCTAAAAATATGCATTTTCAAAAATCATAGGCGGATACAGATCATTGAGATTGGGGGTACACAAAAAGTATAGTAAATAAGGTTTTTGTTGGTACTGTTTCTAAAAAGGGTGGCAATGGTCTTGTTATGTTACAATTTTCTTATGAGAGAACGACTAAAATTGTATTGGTCATGCATAGGCGGTGTCAGGGCACCTATGTTGGGAGGTAAAAAATAACCCCCCTTTTTGGACGCCTGGATCCGCCTATTATAGAAAAAACGTGTCAAAAGAGGATGCACAATAACTTTGTATATGTTATCACATGATACCTTTCATTCACTGTTCGTAAAACTGGTGCAGCATCGTGATCTTCGCCCAAATGACTCGCTTCACGAATAGGACCCCCAATTCCCAGTGCTCTGGAGCCGCCCCTGGTAAAGTTATGAACTTGAAATTTTCAGGGAATGTGCCCAATTTAGTTTTAGGAAAAGTCAGAAAATTTCAGCATCGTAGCTATAGCGGTTTCGGAGATATTCCCGAAAAACCTAAGGGGTGGATAAAAACAACCCCCCTGCCACTAATAGGGTTAAGAGCAGTAGGAATCGTAAGATTAGGTACTGTATCGAATTCATTATGATCAGACCGGTTTCGGTGTATTAACCCTCGCCCATGTAGGGGGGGGGGTTGGTGCAACCCCCCCCTGAGGTTTTTCGGAAATAGTGCAAAAACGGCGGCGCGCAGCGCCGCCAAATTTTGGGTACCTTATGGGGCAAACCTTGCGCATCTTTTGATAAAAAAAAAATTTGACCGGGTCATGTCAGGTCACGGAGTTATGACGTCACAAAGGGAACAGCCTCCGGCCGGATTTTCACAAACTGAGTGCCAACGCCCGAGGTTTCCTGCCGGTGGTACGGACATCGGTTGATGGATCGTGATGAAACTTCCCATGCATGTTGGGGCAAGTATTGACTATCATATGGTATAAGAAACTTGACCGGGTCAGGTCAGGTCACGGAGCTATGACGTCACAAGAGGAACAGCGTCCGGTACTATTTTTGAAAAGCGCCCGAACCACTATTTTGCTAATTCTTGTCACCTCAATGGGAATATGCAGCAATATTAGCTTCTATAGGGAGCAAATGGACCTTCCAAATCCAAAAATACAATCAGATTTCAAAAATTTAAATTTTGATTTTTCGAATTTCTGCCGCCGACTGTGACCTTGCCGACTTCCGGCGCTCCCAACGCGCCATTTTTAGAGCTAGGGAAACGAAATACATACCAAACGATAGAGAATTGATCAAGGAACACGATAGTGAAGGTTTCAAGTCGATATCTACCACCGTTTTGCCGCAATCGCCGCGGAAAGTTGAAAAAAGTCTATTTTTCCGAAAATTTGACCTTTGACCGGTCAAAAGTAGGTCAAATGTTGACCTAGGACCAAAAAATATACCACCAATCGCGAGATCTCGGCGAGAGCAATCCGTTGGTCTTTTCCGCTAAGCTCTACGACGCTCCGTTTTCAAACGCCAAGGGGGGGGGTCGCACCAACCCCCCCCCTGCATGGGCGAAGGTGGCAGATCGCCGTTTACGGGCGAGGGTTAACACCATCATCAGTGAGTAAAAGTATTTAGCGGCTCTGCCGACCGCTCGGGGTCAGGCAGCGGCTTATAGCGGTCTTATCCCCTATTCTTCATCGGCTCATTACAGATAAGTGTTCTGTTTATGCCGTCCATATGGGGAAGGCCGGCAGAGTGGACTAACAGGTCTGTTTCAGTGGCTTCATTCATGCGTGTTAGATGCTAGAGCGGGCACAGTCAAGGGATTTCACTGAAGGACCGGGTTTAGGTATACGTAGCGCAGTGATCTGGAACTTTACGACTTTCATTGAAGTGTGACTCTGCTGTTGAAATTATTTTCTTTCTCAAAAATTTATACAAGGTACACATTTCCCTATAATCTAGTTACAACGGAGCAGTCGACTTGTTGGCTTGGGCGTTGGCATCGAAAACTTGACGAATGACTAAATTTTAACACCATTTCGATATTCTTTTACGTCGCAGTTAAATGATTAATAACACCGAGACATTATCCCGCGCCCCAGTGGCGGTCTCAGCCAACTTCGCCCTAGTGGGGGGGGGGGGGGGGCATACCTCTAACTCAAAAACTAAGAGGGCTAGAAAGACGCGGTAAAAAGCAGTCGATAGCTCTTAATGCGTACGTTTGAAAGTATTTCAGTCATTTTTCACCTTAGAGCAATATTGGGGTCACCCGAGGTCATCAAAGGTCAAAATTTGCGAATTGTCATTATATTTTTCAGAAAACATGCCGCTATCTCAGGAACTATGGTAGCTAGAAAAACGCATGGAAGAGCAATCAATAGTTTTTGAACTCTTCTTTTGAAAAGGTCACTATCAATATTGACCTCAGGTCAACGGTTTAGCCTCCAGAGGGCAAAAACTTCAAAAATAGCTGTTTTTACGAAAAGTGTTTTTCGACAATAACTTTCGACTACAAAAAGCCACGACATTTCTATTGCCAGAATCGTGTTCCCCTCGCCGAGACGCGTCGTATGAACTATAATTTGACCTTCAAAAGTCAAGTTGAAAATTTGACCTCAGGTCAAGGTCATGACCTGACCAAAAAAGGTCATGTTGCATATCAGTCGATGCGTCTCAACAAGACAAACACAATGAGACCATCCCCAGCGTTCTATCTCTTTCCAATCGCGAGTTATTGGCAAAAAAACTGTGTGTAGCTTCAAATGACCTCGGATGACCTTTCTAGAGGCTATCAGCAAAAATGACACCTTGGTCATCACGAGTGGACTAAATTATTGTGATTCTGAAATATTTGGACTGTTCCTATGCGTACACACGGATCTAGAGGCATTTTCATTTTTCTCCGTTGACTTGTAATGGAAAGGTCACGCCACTGACCTGACCTTAGGTCACGGATATAAAAAATCCGAGATATACAAATTGTAGGCGCCCATAACATCATGCAATCCACCAAGTTTAACACCTTTCTGACAAACACTGCAGGCTGGACATGATTGCAAACTTGTTTAGGCTTGGTCAGTTAACTTGACCTGGTGACCTGAACTGACATGACCTGGGGTCAAAAAGTTCACACATTGTCCAAAATTGATGTACCAAAAGCTACCCGAAGCGGCGCGGCGCTACGCGCCGCGGTTTTTTTATTCACACGCAAAAAACGCGACAGGGTGGTAACATATGCCCCCCCCCACTGGGGCGAAGGTTTCCCGCATGATGTATGCAATATACATATAAAGATATGCATATTGCGCATGAATAGGCTGAATCACGCATCTCGCTGTCCTTCAAATTGGACCGGGGAGTCTGCACAGACTGGCGGTCGATCCTTTTGCTCGTTCGATGGCTCAGGGAGGCTCTGTCTCCGGGAGAATCAAACTCCGGTGGATCCAAGTTCCAACTCCGTGCGATCCAGCTCCGAAAGGATCAAACTCCGGGAGGAACCAACTCCGTGCGATCCAACTCCGGACCGCGGAGCGGCCCTCCTGTGGCTGGCTAACCATCACGTATGCAGTCGGACGGCCGCGCACCGGGCATGACACAATCCGTCCCGAGCTGCTGGCGGGCCAGTGACGTCATTTTATTGCCGGCAGTGGTGGATCGGCCTCAGCCGGTTGGGCATTCATCTATGCATATATGGTGACTTATGTGCCTGGGCAGTCGAGTGTTTGCATCGAGAGGGATGGCTTGGTAACAGGTGCTGAACTAATAGCGGATTATGCAGCTCACAATGGATTAGTGAATGAGTTAATTTGACGAATCTGACGCATAATGTTGAAGGGGCATGATTTATTGTACCTTTTATGTGCATTAACCGAAATTATTTAAGTTCGCTTTTATGCTTGATTCGTTCTATTCTCATGTCATTGCACTACATTTCTTCGTAAAAACCGTCTACATAGTTGCAAAAAAAGTCTACAAATGCTGGAAAATATATACAAGACAATGACAAAATTAGAGCCACTCCAAAGTTTTTCTCACACAGCGACAGGTGCCCAAAGTGGCCAGTCACCTATCTCGCCGGAGGATCGGCGGTCATCGTCACGAGTTGTGACGTCATCACGTCACGGAGCAGACAGCCGACATGGCCGCTCCCCGATATATACAACTGCGCGGGCAGCTCCGCTCATGAATACGCATGGCGGCTGGTTTCCCGAACTGCTGGAAATCGACTGCCGGGCGGACAGATGGGAAGGGGCTCGGTGTCACGAACTGTTCTCGGAACATAGCTCCGTTCTGTTCTGGACGCTCGTGTTCTGCAAACACCACTGAGATCATCACAGAGTCGTGACTGCCACGTGGGACGTAGACGGAACCCAGAAACATGCAGCGATATAAACGTGCATCCCGATGGACCACGTAACAAAAGCTATAGCAAATGACCGGGATGCAAAAACTGGCCTTACAGTTGACCCGCATCTTACAGTTAACCCGTGATGGTGGTCTGAATTTTCCGTGTCGTGCTGGGGGGGGGGGGGGGACGTTTTCACGTTCCCCGTCTAAATCGGCTCCTGGGCCACGTAGCGACACACGGTAATCGGCATTCGAAAGAGCGTCAAACATAATGACGGAAATACCCCATTCATTTTTAGATCAGGTCAAAGGCCAGGTCACCAGAGGTCATCGAAGGTAAAATACTTCTATTTCAACTATTTTTGAAATGCCTTACTCATAAATCCGGAATTAATAGAGCTACAGCGCCGCAGAGAAAAGCGAATTCGATATCTCTTTCACAGACCTTTCTGAATTTGCTCTCAAATTTGAACTGAGGTGAACGGTTTAGCCTTCAGTGGCCGTATTCACAATCAGGGATTAAGGGTACGGGTAGGAGTAACGGGTAACGGGTTATTTTTGTGGCGGTATTCACAATCGAAGTTTACCCCTGATGCTCGCCCGTCGCCCAGCGCCACGCAGACGGCACTCATACTCTGGACGGCACCTGGCCTGCGGGGTATTGTCTGCGTGGCGCGGGGCGAGCATCAGGGGTAAACTTCGATTGTGAATACCGCCACAAAAATAACCTGTCAACGTTTACTCCTACCCCTAACCTTAACCCCTGATTGTGAATCTTGTTCATCTCGTCGAGACGCGTCGAATGAACAATAAGTTGACCTTAAAAAGTCTTTTTGAAAATTTGACCTCAGGCCAAGGTCATGACCTGACCGGAAAGGGTCAGATGCATATAAGTCGATCCGTATCGTCAAGCCCAACACATCTGGGCCCAATCTCACCAAGTGCGGTAAACTCAATTTGGGGTAAAATACCAAACTACCCCACTCCGTAACTACAAAAATACTGTCCCAAAATTAAGTTTACATAACTTGGTGAGATTGGGCCAAGTGCCCAACCTCACCAAGCTAGTTTAACTAATTTCGGGGTAGTATTTTTGTAGTTATGGAGTGGGGTAGTTTGGTATTTTACCCCAAATTGAGTTTACCGTCAAAACACATCAACACGTCAAAAGTTATAGTAAAAAAGCTGCTGGTGACCTTTCATGACCTGAGATGGCCTCAGGGGTGCACAGAGGAGCCACGGGTGCAATTTGACAATTGAGTGTGTCATGTTAACCTATACATCGACTTGAGAATATTTAGAACGACATTCGTCCAGAAGAGGTGCACTTCAACTTACTCCCATTGACATCAGGTAGGTGCAATGGAGAGTCGCAAAATTGATCCAACCTTATGTCACAGATTTCTAAATTCCGCGATATTCATTTTATACATACCTAATGTTACTCTTATCAATCGCTGAAAGTTTCAAAGTGATCGTTCAGTCGGTGTAGCTACAGCGAGCCTTTGAACTTTTCTAAGGTAAGGTCACTTGACGTGACCTGGTGACCTGACCCTGAACGATCGGGGTCTGAAATTTTCACATGTGCAGAAAAGATGTATAAACAGCTGTAATAAGAACGTCGGAGCTGCGCGCCGCCATTTTTGAGATATTCGCGGAAACCCTGAGGGGGGGGGGCGTAACCCCCCAGCACGGCGCGGGTTAGAAGTTTAAAACCATTACTCTTTGTTATCTCTAGCTGTCCATGGCTGCGAAAGAAGCAAGAAAGTGTTTGGTGGTGTGCGTAAAGCCTTGTTTTCGTTTTCCATTTCTGACAGGAGCGGTCCTGTATCATTGCTGTATCGTTTTCTTTTTCTTTCCAACAGGAGCAGCGTTATCCGAGGTCAGCGTCCCCTCCCGCCGGACCACAGCATCCAGTGTGCGCGGCTCCGCCAGCAGGCGGCTGGCAGCGCCCCCCAACAGAACAGCCGAGGCGCAGCAGCAGGGCCTGCTCGTCTTTACAAAGGTCAGTGACGTCATTAGTTCTGATGGCAACAAATGCTGTCTTATCACACACAAACGGTACGTCAAGTCAGTCCTTACAGCTGCATTGCTTTTCAATGCACAGTGTACATATGTACAAACTCTCGGGGAGCTACAGGTTTTGGAATACGTTCCAAAGTACGGCAACAATGCCGCTGATCAGACAAGCTGTGTCAGGTTACATGTATGTAAACACGTTGGACCGATGTGCAGCCTCCGTCTCAGCAGCGTAAATCTTACAGCCTACGGGACTCAGCGACTGTGAGATTCGGTTTCCGAAACGAAATTTGCATCTGTTCGGTGTGTGCGTATGGAAAGGCTGTTGAAATGCTGTCTAAAGCTCCGTCTGTAATCACTTCGAAGCCGGCTCGTAGTGCTTAGCTGAAGTGATCACAGTGACACTGCGCGTATCAGTACAGAGCCATTGAACCATTTTCTTATCATTTTTGATCCGCCATTTCTTACGAACAGATAGAGCCTTAAAAGACCAACCTATAACCGAAGAGGCTATATGTAACGACTGTTTTCGGATTACAATGCACATATTCTCTTCAACTGAGAGCCAACATTACAATAAAACCGGAATCAAACCTGAAGCATCCGCTCAGGTTCCGCTTTAATATTCCAAGAAATGCAACCAATATGCAAGAGACCCACTGTAACAATGAAATGTGCAATGCATAATCATACAACCATGCCTGATTTGATAATCAGCTCTATTGGACGGTAATACTGAAGTCGCTTTTAGCGAAATATGCCCCAGGCGTGTGTGGAAGCGGCACTTCCTGGGCTACTTAGGGCTGGGGTTCTCGGAAAATCGAGCGCGCTAACTTCGTTTTGCGAACTGCCGTTTGACAGCAGTTCCGAGTTCGCAGTACTTGTCCGAAGAGGACTCGCTCGTAACTAGATAAGAATTCTGCTCGGGTAAATTGGGATGGCGAGGCCGAATAATTGAGTAGCCTCATTTTAATATCGTCTCCTACGCTCAAACCGTCATGGATACCATAAAAAAGCGTGCGTGCGCATCCGAATAATCAGGGATAATTTTCCGGGATCACCGGGATCATTCGGTCACGGTGTTTTAGGCTGACACCGTGCACAGCGGTCATGACAACGAGCTTAAGAGCCATTCGTGAAGCCATACAGAGGTCTATATAGAGGTCTATGGTGAAGCAAAATCAATCTAAAAAAGTGACTAATTTCATCAATGGTCCCTGCAATACCAAATAATTACCGGTGATCCCGGATAATTATCCCTCATTTTCCAGATGCCGAATAAACGCCAAAGGCGATGTCGAACAGTAATCAATTTCTACCAGCTAAGTCACACGAAATTGTCGTGAATATTGCCCAATGTCCAATCAACGGAGCAGTGTTTAGTGCGATAACTTTTAATTTAAGATTTGTTGCCATTGTAGCCTAATACTATGGATAGATAGGTGCGCATTTTTCGCCGTTAAGGAGCACCTACTACGGTTAAAGAATCACATGGAATGAGAGCAGGAAAAAGAAGAAATTAAAACGGAATTACTTTATCGTTATTTCCATTCAAAGGTCTCCAACTACCTCATTCAGCGAGAAGACCATAACAACAAATCAAAACAAAAATGGCCAACATAAAGTTTCTAGATACACCGTGTTACACATTTTACAACTATGTAGTGATTTGACAGAAGTTATAGCTTAGGGTTTTTAACAGAAATGACGATAAAGAGATATATTCATTATTCAAGCAAACCAAATGAGCTGCTGGCATGGTAATCAATAGGCAAAACAGCAAAGTGATTTGTGTAACAGGTGCAGCAATATAGTGCACGTTATCAGTGAATTGCGTCCTATTGCAAGGATTTTAATGAATAATGCATGAGCTGGTATCAAGAAACAGGCAAATCGGGTTTTTCAGTTCTCCATGCCAGTAGAAAAGATAAATGCATCGATTTGTTAGCACATGATGTGACTGTGGCGTGTTGACTCTCTCTCTCTCTCTCTCTCTCTCTCTCTCTCTCTCTCTCTCTCTCTCTCTCTCTCTCTCTCTCTCTCTCTCTCTCTCTCTCTCTCTCTCTCTCTCTCTCTCTCTCTCTCTCTCTCTCTCTCTCTCTCTCTCTCTCTCTCTCTCTCTCTCTCTCTCTCTCTCTCTCTCTCTCTCTCTCTCTCTCTCTCGCTCTTAGTCATCCCTTGTATCTCCCGTCGCTGTCTGATTGCTCTTATCACTCCCTCTCCCTCTCCCAGCCTGTACCTCCCGCTGCACCCATCACACCTTTATCCTCTCTCAGCCTGTACCTCCCGCTGCACCCGTCGCCCCCTCTCTCCCAGCCTGTATCTCCCGATGCACCCGTCGCCCCCTCTATCCTCTCTCAGCCTGTATCTCCCGCTGCACCCGTCGCCCTCCCTCTGTCGTCTCGGTCCGATCGAACTGGATCACAGAGCCGCCGTCCAGGTGGTACCGACAGGCGGTCGGTAATCTGACGGTGTCTGCCGACCGCATCGGTCACCGGGTCCATACTGCTGTTACCAGGCGCGGGCAGCCTGATGGCATATGACAGGGATGAACTTGTCGTGACAGTTCATGACAGTTGTCATGACAGGGATGACAGGGCGTCGTGGATATGGTCTGTGCGCTGATGTGGATAAACGGGGAAATACATATACAGTATATATTATACAGCTCCAAGACAGATAGTTATCAGTCAGATCAGCCGATTAGGCGATTTCGATGGGCGGCCTCATGTGGGCTGTAGCAAAATGAAGTAAGCTATGTAAGGAACATTTTTAGAACTGCATCGTTATGAATATTCTAATAATTAATTACAAAGCTTCCGAACCTTATTGAGGAACAATTTTCAACGCGATTCGCACCACCATGTTGTACGATTTCCATTGGAAATGAATGCGGTCTTCGACTTAGGTCGAAACACTCAGCAACAGGTTGACAGGACAGTTTCAAGCTATCAAACGCCGTTTTATTGTATTATTATTTTTAATGGGGGAGGGTCTGTAGAGGGAAATCTGTAGAGCCTCCCCCTGCACCCCCACAAAATCAACTCCACCCTCCCCCCCCCCACCCACACAAAACCAGCTCCACCCATGCGCATGCAAATAACCTTCCTCTTTGTTTGTATTATATCACTATGGTCTATGCGGCAGGCAGTTCTGAAAATAACACATATTACGGTGTGATGACAAGTGATATGCAATATGCATACTAACAAGACAAGTGCTTCATGCCATAACGGAGTGTTTCCAGAAAGGTCGATTCCGGAAATTTCTTTATGAATTTAAGTGTACGGTGCGAGGCATTCCATTAATTATAAAGACATCTGGCGAAAAGTGCGTCGAACTCTGAACACGTGTCCGATGGCTGTGATCACAGCTGAACAGTTGGCCAACTTTTTACCAACAAACAGTTGAATTAATAACTGCACCAGCTCCCACTGCGCGTGTCTCTATAGTGACATCTGTGCCGTACGGCCCGCTCTCTATTGATTGGGTCCTCGCTCCAGACACCAACTTTGGCACCGGCGTCAGCCCGAAATCCTAAGACCGTGGCCAGATATTGAGTTAGGAGAGTTTGATATTCCTTGGATCAGTGTGTTGTTTAATCGGGGCTACCCAACTCCGAACGGTGCTGGGCGTAATTACGCGCTGTAGCGTTGTGTCAAAGCACCTGATCCATCGGGGCTCGGGTCTTAATTAAAAAAAGCCGCTCAGCAGTTTCATTTCTCTGTATAAGTGTATAAGTGTGACGTAAAGCGTACACACATGCTCCATAGTTGCAATAACCTTTGTGATTTGATCCCTAATTCGATATCTCTGGTGTGCAGGTCACTGGTGGTCTGTTTTACTGACCGACTGTTAACAAACACACAGATGCTCGTGCACTCCCACACTGTCCTGGTGGTAGCTCCCGGAGTGTGGCTATACAACGTGCCGTCTGAAAACTCTGTTTGGTCCTTGTAACAACAGTCTAAAGTCTTATTAGGTCCGCGGTGTCCAATTGAAAGTTGAAACGCTGTTCCGGTCTGTGTGACGTTGTCCTTTCTATTCTGTTCTGGTCCTTTCTAACTGTCCACTCCTTTCTGCATATCCGAGCTGTCCACGTGATTCTTAGCGTTGTTTATCACTTACATAAAGTTGTCTGTTGTTATGCCTCGTCTGCTGCACTCTCAACAGATCCACGGTAACCGTGTGAAGCGCTGTTTAGGTCTGTATGCAGTGTGTGATTGCTGTCTGCTCTGCCTTCTTTCAGATCCCGCGGTGTGGTAGCACTGCCGTCGGCCACATCCTCCACGAGCTGTCGCGCTCCAGAGGCTTCTCGGTGTGGGACGAGCCTCCGTACCGAGTGCGGCGGCTGCTGCCGGAGACCGAGCAGCTGGCGGTAAGATCTCCCGCCTCACGGTCCTTCCCATCACTGCACTGTTCCGCGCCGCCGTTTTTGGTACACCTTATCATACATCAATTCAACACATGTTGTGAAAATTTCAGACTAAGGTCATTCAAGGTCAGGTCACCAGGTCACTTGAAGTGACCTCACCTCATAAAAAATTTCAATGTCTGTCATAGCTACACCGAGTGACCGATCGCTTTGAAACTTTCAGCGATTGCTAAGAGCAATAGCATATACAAAATGTATAGCTCAGAATTTTGATATCGATGACCTAAGGTCAGGTCAATTTTGCGACCTCCCCATTATAAGTCAATGGGAGAAAATTGAAATGCGCCTCTTTTGGACGAAAGACATAATAAACACTCCCAAACACCGAATTACAAGTGGTTTAGACACACTGAACATGAAAATGGTGTCCGTGACCCTTGTTTGTGCCCTGAGGTCATCATAGGTCACGAATGGTATCTAAAGTTTTTCGCAAATAACTTTTGATAGAGGCATGCTAGAGCGATGAAAACGCCTTATATGTGTTCAGCTCGACGATACAGATCGACTGCTATGAAACATGACCCTTTTCGGTCAGGTCATGACCTTGACCTGAGGTCAAATTTTCAAGTTGACCTTTCAAGGTCAAGTTATAATTCATTCGATGCGTCTTGACGAGAGGAACACGATGCCGGTGAAAGTAAGCTCGCACAAGACTTGGGTCAAAAGTTATTGCAGAAAAACTGTTTCCGAAAAAGTCGGTTATTTTTGCAGTTTTTGCCCCCTGCAGGCAAAACCGTTGACGTTAGGTCAAATCTGAGAGGATTGCTCAGAAAGGGCGTTAATAGGGCTATCGAATGCACTTTTCCGCGGCGCTGTAGCTCTATTGGTTCCCGAGTTATGCGTTGGCTTCTTGGAAATTTTCGACATTCGACCTGGAAATCGGCGAAATTTTGCCTTCAATGACCTCTGGTGACCTCACCTTTGACCTGCCCAAAAAATTGACCGAAGTGATTTCGTCATTATTTTTTACGCTCTTTCGAACGCCACCTTCCGCGTATCGCTACGTGGCCCAGGAGCCGAGTTACAAGGGGGGAGGGTGTTCAAACACCCCCCAGCAGGGCGTGGAAATCCAGGACCCCCAGCCGGGCGCGGGTTAAACAATTCATTCGAGTGCATAACGCAGCCTCATGTTTTATGTCGGCTGAAAATAAACTAAGGCAGAATTATGAATTTTCTCATAAGAATTAGGTTGTATTTTTTACGTGTAGGTACTCACCAATATTCCAAACAAAATCTGGAGAAGGTCCGTATCAACTCTAAGCGATGTCCCCATGCAGCGTTATATGCAATTGGGTATGCGTAATTTTTCTCACAGAGTAAAAGCAATAAAGATGTAGATTAGTTATAATTCTACTTTTAATTTTACTCAACCTTGAACAGCATCGTAACTCAACGCAAGCCGTTGAGATCATTTTCTCCCTTTGGACAAACATTTCCAAGTGCTGCCGGCCTTGCATCTCGGAACTCCGGTAAGACCAGCACTCCGGCTAGGCTGCGAGAAATTCACCGGCCTGTCGTCGCCACTCAACACTTTGATGTTGAATGTTTCTGCGACCGGCAGCCCGCGCTAGCCGATGAGTAGGCGGCAGGAGCAGCTCCGCTAACTTTGCGGTCACGGCACCGGAGACTTCTTCATTGCCGTTACGTGCGACTGGGCCCGGCCAGAAGTGGTCGCAGCGCTGTTATTGGGGCCTGACGATGAAAATAAATAACTATGGTCCACCTTCTTTATAATTCTTAATTAGATTTTCGACGCAAAAGGATATTTATGAACTGTGTTCGGATTCTTGAAATGGAGTCACCGACGACACTGTGCTCTCTTTGTATTCAAAGGAAAGTTCCTCTCAAATTATGTTTTCCTTATATGTAAATCAAAGGAGTCAGAATTGAAGCAGTTGAGACCAAGTAACTATTTCTAATAGCCGTGCTGAGGCAAGGCTGATTTCGTATATTTTTTACCTATGTAAGGAATGTTTAAAATATAATTTTGAATGTGCATATTTTCACCATTACAAGAGCCTTAGTTTCTTTTATGAAGGAAGAATCGATTTATGTGATAATCGGGATCGACGAGAGTCACAAGTGCAAGAGGCTAGAATTGTGAGGCCAGCACGCCTTGGGGGCGTTTGACGCCTGAGGTATAGGCTGTGCCGCCCTACTTATCTGTATTGCGGCACAGCATACCTACGCAGCAGATTGCCGCAGAGGCGCAGAGCAGGGACCGCCATCCGGCGACAGAGACACGATCACACTGAACGATATATGTGATATGCTCAATTGACAAACAATGATAACCAATGCGTGTAGCCAGTTTGAGTCTACTTTTGTTGTAGAGAACGATCGTTTTTATGAACGTTCTTAATAATCCATTCTATCTGAAGTTGGATGAGGTGTCAGAGAAATAATCGGTGTAATATCACTCGGCATCTCGTATGATTTACCTGCTCATTTGAAGTCAAAACAATAATTACCTACTTGTGTTTTAGTGAACTTGTCAGTGCTCGACATTACTGTGAACTAACTCTGCTTTTATATTTGTTCAGTTAAAGGCTGTCAAGGAAATCAGTCAAGTTCCGAAACCAGCGGTGGTTATCAAGGAAAAGAGCTACATTGATTTCTCCAGGTAAGCTATTCCAGCATACCTTGCTAAGATCAAGTCCAACAAGGCAAAGATCACATTAGGACCCATACAATTCGGCTGCGGCACCATCCAACAACGCCTAATCGAAGGACGGGTGGTATGCTCCACCACGATCTCTTGTCTCATTGAGCCGTGGTTGTATTCTGTCGGTGATTCTGTCCCTTTGCTATCCCAACGTACACTGCCCCCCGTCCCGTGTGCCCCTCCCCGTCCGGATGTACCCCACCAGTAACCCGTGACCTGCTCTCGTTCCAGACACGGCCATCAGAAGCCCATCTATGTCAGCATGGTGCGCGACCCTCTGGAGCACGTCAACTCGTGGTTCTACTGGCTGCGAGCGCCGTTCGCTGTGGTCGAGAGGGCCCTCTCCTTCGGCAAGGACAACGCAGTCAGCCACCTGCCCAAGGCGCCCTTCCTGAAAAAGGTACGTGTATAGGCACTGGCGTGAAAACAGTAATTTGTTCGTGTCCAAACAAACTGTTTGATTTACTGTCTGTACAAACTGTCTGTATTTGATTTAAGCTTAAATGGACGCACAGCATTTGCCTTGTATGCTGAGTCTGAAGCGGGCAAAAGGAATCATTTAAGAGGAAAGTAAAAGTGCATATTATTGCCTGACTGCTCTATTTTTGGCACCTGTTTACTTGATAAAGATAGAAAATGCACATCTTCTTCACCTGAAACCCTGCGCCGACCGCCACGCGATGAAAAAATAGCTAGATTCTTTCTCCCGTATATATTCTGTGGGCATCTCGAAGTCGGATTTTATGTAATACAGCCGGTAGCGACTCGTCCAAAAAGATAATACAGGGTGTCCCAGAAGTCTTGAAGCTTTTTTATTTTTGTCGTGTGACCTTGCTATGCCACCGATTAAGGCGAATCATGCCTCAAACGAAAGAGAATGAACTGAAATTTTGTATTTTCATGCGTAGAGCACCACTTTAGTCAGGTGGCCCCGTTGTGAGTCGCACAAGAACGAGCGCGAGAGATCACGTCTTTCGCTGCCGCCAAGATCTCCCGGCTTGCGAAACACCGGTGTCGCCATGCCCGTTTCTTGTCAGCTTCAGAGTCTTATTTCCTGAAGCGAGCGACATAATATTAGCGACATATATTTGCGACGGGTTGATATTTGTTTTAGCACCATAATAATGCGACGAATCAAAGGATTACAACGGGCTGTTGCTTAGCGCGCTCAAGCAGCTGAGCCTTATTTCCGTAATGGATGCGTGCAAACATGTCAGGAGACTTTCTGATCAGTAAATCATTATGTTGCTAATGTTTTCTCGGAGATCCAATACTCTGTTTCCTGGCTCGCTTCATGAAATAAGGCTCTGAAGCTGACCAGAAACGGGCATGGCGACACCGGTGTTTCGCAAACCGGGAGATCTTGGCGGCAGCGAAGAACGTGATCTCTCGTGCTCAATCTTGTGCGACTCACAACGGGGGCCACCTGACTTAAGTGGTGCTCTAGGCATGAAAATACAAAACTTCAGAATCAGTTCATTCTCTTTCGTTTGAGGCGTCATTTGTCTTAATCAGTGGCATAGCAAGGTCACACGACAAAAATAAAAAAGCTTCAAGACTTCTGGGACACCCTGTACAGGCCGTGTAAAGAGAAAGGCGATTTTGAGCCATTGTACCATTTAATCATTTTACCACTACAAAAAAAAACGTAGGCAAAAGGCCAAATGCACTGCGATTTATTGAATAAATTTATTAAAGGTATTGGCCAAATGGCACGATTGAGGTTACCAAAGATCGTCGGCATGATTTCCCTCTCGTAACTTGTCATTATCTAAAATGTGATGCTAAAAATGACAATGTGCATGAAATCAATGTAAACTGTACAATATTTCATATATCAACTTCTTGACTTTAACCCTATTAGTGGCAGGCTCCTGGCTACCCCATATTAGTGGCAGGGGGGGGGGCTGTTTACGACCCCCCCTTGATATCTCGAGATCTAACCGGCCGATTTTCAAAATTCAAACGGCATTCGATTCGGCTCAACGAGATCTACATTTCTAAAAAAATAAAATTAAAAAATGTCAATAGGGGGGTAGAGGGGGGTAAAAACGTGCAAATTGCAGATACATTTTAGACTGTTTATCACGGCCAGGTTTCTGAACCAATCTTAACGCAACTTTTGCCGATCGATAGAGAATGAACCAGGAATTCACATGGATCCTAAAAATATGCATTTTCAAAAATCATAGGCGGATACAGATCATTGAGATTGGGGGTACACAAAAAGTATAGTAAATAAGGTTTTTGTTGGTACTGTTTCTAAAAAGGATGGCAATGGTCTTGTTATGTTACAATTTTCTTATGAGAGAACGACTAAAATTGTATTGGTCATGCATAGGCGGTGTCAGGGCACCTATGTTGGGAGGTAAAAAATAACCCTCCTTTTTGGACGCCTGGATCCGCCTATTATAGCAAAAACGTGTCAAAAGAGGATGCACAATAACTTTGTATATGTTATCACATGATACCTTTCATTCACTGTTCGTAAAACTGGTGCAGCATCGTGATCTTCGCCCAAATGACTCGCTTCACGAATAGGACCCCCAATTCCCAGTGCTCTGGAGCCGCCCCTGGTAAAGTTATGAACTTGAAATTTTCAGGGAATATGCCCAATTTAGTTTTAGGAAAAGTCAGAAAATTTCAGCATCGTAGCTTCAGCGGTTTCGGAGATATTCCCGAAAAACCTGAGGGGTGGATAAAAACAACCCCCCCTGCCACTAATAGGGTTAACCCGCGCCCCAGTGGCGGTCTCGGCCAACTTCGCCCTAGTGAGGGGGGGCATATGTTACCACCCACCTCTAACTCAAAAACTAAGAGGGCTAGAAAGACGCGGTAAAAAGCAGTCGATAGCTCTCAATGCGTACGTTTGAAAGTATTTCGGTCATTTTTCACCTTAGAGCAATATTAGGGTCACCAGAGGTCATCAAAGGTCACAATTTGCCAATTGTCATTATATTTTTCAGAACACATGCCGCTATCTCAGGAACTATGGTAGCTAGGAAAACGCATGATAGAACAATCGATAGCTTTTGAACTCTTCTTTTGAAAAGGTCATTATCAATATTGACCTCAGGTCAACGGTTTAGCCTCCAGAGGGCAAAAACTCCAAAAATAGCTGTTTTTACGTAAAGTGTTTTTGGCCAATAACTTTCGACTACAAAAAGCCACGACATTTCTATTGCCAGAATCGTGTTCCCCTCACCAAGACGCGTCGAATGAACTATAACTTGACCTTGAAAGGTCAACTTGAAAATTTGACCTCAGGTCAAGGTCATGACCTGACCGGGAAAGGTCATGTTGCATATCAGTCGATGCGTCTCAACAAGACAAACACAATGGGACCATCCCCAGCGTTCTATCTCTTTCCAATCGCGAGTTATTGGCAAAAAACTGTTTATAGCCTCAAATGACCTCGGATGACCTTTCTAGAGGCTATCAGCAAAAATGACACCTTGGTCATCACGAGTGGACTAAACCATTGTGATTCTGAAATATTTGGACTGTTCCTATGCGTACACACGGATCTAGAGGCATTTTCATTTTTCTCCATTGACTTGTAATGGAAAGGTCATGCCACTGACCTGACCTTAGGTCACGGATATAAAAAATCCGAGATATACAAATTGTAGGCACTCATAACAGCATGCAATCCACCAAGTTTCAAACCTTTCTGACAAACACTGCAGGCTGGACATGATTGCAAACTTTTTTTAAGGCTTGGTCAGTTAACTTGACCTGGTGACCTGACCTGACATGACCTGGGGTCAAAAATTTCACACATTATCCAAAATTGATGTACCAAAAGCTACCCCAAGCGGCGCGGCGCTACGCGCCGCGGTTTTTTATTTACACGCAAAAAACGTGACAGGGTGGTAACATATGCCCCCCCCCCCCCACTGGGGCGAAGGTTAATATAAGCGCAGCTGCTGCGCATGAGAAGGCCAGGGACAGTGGGAGGAACAGAATCCTTGATCTGCCGCTCCGACACGCTGAACGCTCAGTCTCTAACATTGTTCCGCTAGATTCGCAAAGGAAACAAACAAACAACATCGATGTCGCGCTGCGACTCGTTGGTATAAAATATCTCCCCTTGATGTATGTTTCCAGATGGGTGACGTCCTGTGCTTTTCTTGGCGTAGTCCTGCTCCCCATGTGTTATTCACTCCAGGGACACGAATACCACGGGTCTATCAATAAACAGACACGCTATGCAAAAAGATGCCTCAGTAACGGGCTCTCATTCAATATTTCATAACAAAATACCATCGTAGATAAATTCATGAGTTTAGATATTCAAAATTGACTCATACAAAAAAATGTAAGTTAGACTAACTTGCTTTAGTCACTCGATACTTTAAATTATTATTCAGAGATAAAGTGTGAAATGTTTGTAATTTTTTTTATGCCATTCACAATAGTTAAGATATTATTAAATGCTGAAACATCACATCTCTGACGCTACACGACACCTGAAAAATTATTATAAAAGCATGTGTTTCGGCTTATTCTTTCCATAGTCCATACAACGTCCATAGGGCTAATGTAAAAATAGCAAAATCAAGGGGGCACGGTGCCCCGGTGCCCCCCCCCCCCCCGTTCTGCCGCCTATGTATTTGACTACCTGCGCTTGAATAGACAGAGGTGCATCTCTTCAAATATGACACATGCTGAGAGATAAGGCTAGAATTGAGAACCACGGTGAAATTAAAACGTTACGAGCGTCGGACGACCAATTCACACGCTCCTCACTGATGATGTTGATGTGCAGTGTGCACTTATTATCAAAAGGATAATCTTTTCATGTTTATCACTTTCTAACCCATTCTTTGATGCTCGAATGTGAGCTAGAACGCCACAAACTAACAGACCTTCTCATCCACAGAACTTCGAAACGTGCCACGAGTCGAAGGACCCTGAATGCAACTATGACGAGGGCACCAGCCGTATCGGCCACCCGACGCAGGCGTTCTGCACCTACTCTTCAGAGTGCGCGTGAGTTCGGTGGATGGGGACCATCGGGCAAGGATAAACGCTAAGGATTGGCCACTTTTACAATTACATGGGATTGTTGCTAGTGATCATGGAAAATGCTCCACATGAGTACTTATTCACTGCAAACGGCATAACATTCTTAGCCGCTAAAGTCACGGATTTCCATAGGTAGAAAACAGACACATTTTTTTTTTTTACCTTCCGATCCAGACGAGCTATCTTTTTTAGTATTTCCCCCTGTCCCCTCACAAGTTCTTGTGCACCGTAACTCAATTTTTCCGGCCCAAACACCGCACCATTACCCCAAATAACTTACCCCAAATATCAGCCCCTACCTCTGATAACTGGGCCTATCCCGCCTCGCCTCCCGGTAGTCACGCGATAATTCCATTCACCTCAGACGGGATACCTGAACGCTGCCTCCGATATTTAGTTACCTGAGCGCTGCCAAGCTCATTTGCCTCGTTTTTGTATATTTTCAATATCTTTATATTTTGACCGGTGACGGAGTTGCGAAACAAAGCAAAGCAAACATTTCAAGCCATTCACTTTAATATTCAGTTCCGGCCCATCTTTCGTATCCCGCTAATCTACTTTCATCACAACAGTCAAGATACTTTTGAGTTTATTGCCCCTGACTCTGAAAATTCAACTCCCCCAATGACTCAAGTCTCGAAGGTCGTTCTTTGTCCTTGCTGGAACAACGACATTTTGCCTTAAACACAACAGTTTGTTACCTACTATCTGCAGCATAACGAGTGTCCTGTTGAGGCCGGCTTATTAACACCCATTTCTGTGTCACAGACCCCGCGGCTCGCAATTTAGTAGATCTCAGGAAATCGTGACAAAAATGTAGCTCTCGATTCGTTACTCACAACCATGGTGATATGCGTTATGACTCGTAACTCATGACTCTTAGTCTTGACTCTTGGTATTTCATTGATCATAACTCCTATGATCCTGGACCCATCTACCGTGATTGACGGCTTTATTCACTGATCTTGACCTTTGCCCACTAAATTAGCTCTCACAACCTCAGAGAGTTTGCGGCTCGTGACACATAATCCGTTAGAGCAGAGCAGGAAGCTGTAGCAAGTTACGTTTCAGCTGACTGGTGAGCTGAAACTGGTGACCTTTGACCTCGACACCGGAGACAATCACCTGCCGTCGCTGGTCCCTCCGTATGTCGCTGGCCGCTGATCTTTCTAGTGATTCGATCACCCATCGCATATAACCCACTTACTCGCTAGTTGATATAGAAACTGCTGGAAAATATCGAGCGCCGATCTGTCGTTGACACTGATTTGCTATATCCTCAGACGGCTGGGCAGCCAGGCCGCCCTGCAGGAGGCCAAGCGGGTCGTGGAGGAGCAATACGCGGTCGTTGGCCTGCTTGAGGATTGGGACGTCTCGCTCGCAGTCATGGAGCGGCTGGTGCCGCGCTTCTTCGCCGGAGCCAGTGACATCTACCGGGGTGAGTTGGTACTGCGCCGCTGAGACCGTCCAGCGCACAGGACCGGTGGATGGTCTGTTTTAGCGGAATAATTGATCAACAAGTGGGGACATACTTCTAGATATTGGGTATAGATTACCGACATTTCTTAAACTTTATTCACGCGTTATGAATTTTTATGAACCGAGCTTATTAATAAACTGTATCGGGCCAAATTTATATGTTATTCATTGCCAATGCGCCAATGCCAATGCCATTTAACAATGCGACGTTATATACAGCTCATTTCATTGAACTTTCTAAACAATGCATGCATTTTAGTGCATATGTGTATTCGACCATAAGTTATCCTGTTATTACTTAGTTTTTGCTAAGCTCAGAAGGTACTTACTACACTTCAGAGTTCAGCTGATGGGCATGTCATTTAGTTAATTGTCGCGTTTATGCGATATCTATTACACCATTTACATTGATGTCCCACTTACCGGCTACTTGACACGAGATGCACCCTCCTTTCATGAATGGCTAAAGCTGATGCAGCTTCTCGTATAAGGCCAGCAGTATGCTGTCATCTTCTAAACGATGATACCTTGTAAGCTGGGGAGGGCCAATTTCCATTCACGCAATCTCGCGTCGCGGCCTTGCGCGCCTCTGATGCTGTCACTATGGGAGCTGACGAGGGTTATATCGTCAGCTCGCTGAAAGGCGGCTCGACCGTTAGTGCGCTGTTATCTGCTTTTGGACTGTATTGGACCGCGCCGCTCTCCATCCAGAGCTCAGCTGGTCATGCATACAAATACCGAAGGAATATATTATTTTATTTCAAATGTTCTGGGCTTCGATTGTACCTGTAACTGCTGACTGCTCTAGACATGCTCGTGATGAGATAAGATTTGAGGATAATTCTTTTAAGATTAACTTGATGAATAATTATATTTAATACATACTTTACGGTGCGTTCACTGGAGATTAACCGTGCGTTAATTCGAAGGTAGCCGTGCACCAATTTAAATTGGTGCACGCGCGTGCAGTGATGAATTTCTCGACTGAAGTTTTTCGGAAGGGTCATTGACTTTATTCTAAGATTTCCCATAAAGGGCCCTTTTTAGTGGCATGGATTAGGTTTAATTTTAATTTAAATTCGCACCGTTAAGCATGTATTAATTAGTTTAACACATGGTTTCCGTGCATAAATGGTTTTAACGCACTCGTGGATGGAATGGAGCACTTGTGCGTTAATGCACTCGTTTCACTCGTGCATTAACACACTCGTGCTCCAATCCATCCACGTCGTGCGTTAAAACCATTTACGCACGGGAAACCATGTGTTAATATATATTAACGTATCGATTGATAATCAGCAGCAGCGCACATTAATTTTATACCGATTGGAGCGAGCCTGGAACATCGACCAATCGGCGATGGCGTGCGGCCCGACCCGGAGGTCGCCCACTCCCTCCGCGGCGTCATCTCTGCGCCGATATGGGCGCGACAGCCGGCACCGATCGGGGTCGGGTCGCGTCAGCTGGTGTGACGTCATACATTATGCGCTCCATCAGAGAGTGCCGGATCGACCGCTTCGACCGGGGACGAGGTGTGTTGACAGTGTCGGCTGTAGATGGAAGGTCAACAGAAAACAGCGCTCTCTTCGCCGGCTGCCGATCCGCCGACCGGGGATTTGGACTGGCAGAGCGCTCTTAGGTATATCACGTCTTTCCATTTGACGGTACCGACCAAACGTTTTCTGTGTACGGTTGATAGACATTTTCTATGTTATTCTAGAGATATAACATACAAATTATAAGAAGAATGTCGAGTTTTCTCGTGTTCGCCAAAGGTTATAATTACTTCTGCAATGCTACGCAAAATTTATAAGCCGGTAAATTTGAATTAGACTGCTTAGCCACATTATTAAAATGAGCCACCTCAGTGCTACGTCAGTCTGTAGCAATGTCTATTTCTGGTGCGTCGCCACAATTTCATACGGCGGTGGGCAGAAACAGCGCAGTTTCTGCTGAAACATTCAGCACCGCGTGTCAGGAGCCGAAAGTTACTCGGTAACGTGATTCGGCGGGCACCGCCGAAACTTCTCCACCACTCGGCCACGCCGTGCACCTGGGCAGACTCCTCGACGAGCATCATCTGCGTCTTTTAACTTCACATTGACGGATCCATTTTTATTCCAGAAAAGCTGGCCAGGAATCGCACGCTGCGAAATGAGAACTTCTACAAGCCCAAGTTGAGAGCAGCTCTCCGACAGAAAATGGTGAAGAGCTTCCAGGCCGAAATTGAGTTTTATGATTTCGTGAAACAGAGGCTGTATAACCAGTATGAATCACTCAAGGACTAGCGTGGACCGCCCAGGAATGACGCAACGTGTGCGAGGAATATATTTTAATGGGCGCGCTTTGCCTGTTCTGCGTGTTAGTTTATGAACACAGCATGTCGGCAAAGTCCGGTTGAATATTCACGGACGCATCTGCCCAGTTTTGGTGCATAACAGTACCGAAGGGATATTATTTATTTGTTCCTGTGCATAATTGAAAAATGTAGCCTCACAATGAGCTCCCATGCATACAGATACATCGGTTAAGATGTTTTAAAAAGTCCACTGACTTGTAAGGTCACGGCACTAAACACTGTGCGTCATTCAGGATCAGATGGCACGGCGCTGTTTTTATGTGTGTTTTGATTCGTTTGATTGTATTTTCGGTATGTTTAATGAATCCAGTATTTGGTTTAGCGAATATAACATTAGAAAACCGGTTACGCGTCGACTTGTCAAGACGATGCTCGCACAATGATGATGTAACCGCTGAGCTTTCCGTACATTTATTCGCATTAGTATCTGCAAATATTGCACTTGATCCCTCTTCAGATTCAACCTACAAAGACGAAGTATTTATTGCCTTTATACCATTTGGTGACGAGCTGTCGAGGAGATGAGCTGAGCGCTTACCTCATCGGCATTTTCCGTTATTTTTGCACTATTCCTAGAGTTGGCCTGCTGCACAACACTGCAGTGTTGTTTGAATGTGATTGCTGAGCAATCGTGCTGGCCAATCTCTTTGCACTAGTTATACCATGTGCGATGCCTTTACGTCACTGTATACCATGTTTCCAGGTGTGCTGATCGCTGATAGTGGTGTACTGAGTTGTTGGCTGTTGCCTTCCCGCCACAAGTCATTTTCACCGTATTTGTCTTCTTGTTGTAGCCCCGCAGTGCATTACGTTTTTGTCTGTACGACCAATACCCGCAGTGAATTACTTTTTTGTCTGTACGACCAATAAAGCTGACCAATAAAGCGGCAAATACGATTGTCAATAAAGCTGACGTTATGGAAACTATTTTCAATATTCGACTGCTTGGTTTCCATTAGGTCACTGTTATGCTGCGGTGTCTGACATTCCAAAGGAATCATAGGACCGCAGTTCACATCAGCGGTCGCTGCCGCCGCCATATACGGCTCTATAACTCATGGCAGCTATGCAAACGACCCTTCCCGTCAGATGGACTGAGCTCAGCTCGGCTCGGTCAAACGACCCGGCCAGGATCCGCGTGGTGACGGAGCTGTCATTCAGATGCGGGATATCAAGCTCCCGTCGACATGCGTAGCAGTTGGTGGATTGAGTAGCCCGAGAGTAATTGAAATCGAGCCGCCGGGTCGTTTCCCAAATGAGACTATCACGCGTGAGTAGCACTTTCGGTGCGGGTTATAAGCCAGGGCTTCAGGACAGAAGCCTCACAACTGTAGCTTCTGTGCAGCCAACGCCGCTTTAGGTCGACAAGGGAGGTCGGGGTTCCGTTGAGGTTACATCGGTCTTTCTGGGCCAGCAAGATAGGTGATGTGTCCGTCGCAGTGAGGTCACATTAGTAGCTCTGGGTCAGCAGGGAGGTGTTGCGGTCACGGGGCTACAGGCCAGGGCATGCCAGGCGGCTCCGTAGTCAGTGGACGGCGTTCGGGGTCATTGGCGGATAAAAAGAAAGCGGTTTGGAACGCTGCAGATCGATAATTTTTCATGGCAATAGCTCGAATGCTGCGGGAGGGGCGAATGTCCAAATGTCTCTCCCCTCTGGATTCGTCAGTAACCGTGGCCCGCTATCTTTGAGACGACTTGTTATGCAAACTAGAAAATATCGCTGAGGGCCTGGAAATATGTTCGCAGTTTATGCATTTATGTGATTTGTACTTCCTTGATGTACGCAGAAAGGCCACATTGCCGGCGACGGTTAAAACACACCCTGTCGGAGTAGTAGCGCGGGCCCTCTCACGGCCGAAGCACCACCACTACCACCACCACCACCAGCACCATCCACAATCCGTTCTGCGCAGCGGGCGCCTCCGATTCCCGGTATAGGCGCCGGGTAATGTTATTTGTGGCCACAAGCCCGCTCGAGGAGAGCAGGGCGCCCTGATCACCGTGAGTATTGTTTCCGGCCATGCGCCGACTGGTGATTGGCTAGGCAGCATCGTTTCCCCACTTTGGTCGGTGTGATGCGTGCCACTGAATGGAACTGCAGAGGGGCGCGAGAAATATATCCCTCGTCGGACCTATTGGTTTTCTACATACGCGCCGGCCGAGGGCGGGGGGGGGGGGGGGGGGGTACGACCCCCTCGCCGTTTCGCCCCTGGTGGAGCTAGCGCGTCGCGGAAAAACGAGCGTGTGCGCCGTTACGAGACGCAGAGATTGATACCTGATTTTAAGGTCCTAGGTCAACCGGTGACCTCTGAGGTCAGGTCAAGTGCCCCAAGGTATGGTTCAGTTTTTGGTCAATAAGTTCGCAAAAAAACGGCCGCAGAGCCGCGATCTTGGCAGCATCGTGCTCGCATCTCTCAGCCACGTCGAATGATATACATACTTTTTTTGGGTGAGGTCAACTTAGGGTGTTGACCTCAGGTCACGGTCAGGTCAGCGCCCCCAGGTCACGAAGCTCGTCGAAAGAGGTCATGTCGCTATCATTCGATTCGGCAGGTCTTCCTGAGTCCATTGGTAGCTTTCCCCACTCGCTAGCTCAATTTGATCGGAAGTTATTGACGAAAAACTAATATGACCTTGATGACGTCATAAATGACGTCACGTAAGGTCAACATTGCAAAAATGACGCTTCTTATCTTGCAAAGAGTACATCAAATCACGATTCTGTATGCTTGAGGTAGTTGGAGATCGTTCCCTACGCCAGAATTGCAGTTTTCATTTTTCCCCATTGACTTAACCCGGCACCGCCTGGGCTATTTCCGTACCCACATCAGCCTGGGGGGGGGGGGTCGGATCCGACCCCCCCCCCTGTTATCTCGAGAACCAATGGTCGTATCGAGCCCCGCGAGGCGGCGTTCGAAAGGTCTCTACGAGACCTTCCCAAAGCACTTTTAAGATTTTAAGATAGAGGTCAACTTTCGGGTCAAGGTCAGGTCAAAGGTCAAATTCAGGGGTTTTGCATGATTAGGCTTACGGACAGCGGAATCGATAGCTGCTGCTCGAAACTCACCACAAATGACCTCAAAGACCTAGTGAAGGTACCATGTGCGTATAGGGGTCATACTAAGTACGGGTCAAGGTCAGGTCAGGTCACGAAAGATCACGGTTTTCACTTTCTGCTACATGGGCGTGCGACACATGTTTTATGGCTTATTTTTCACGCCAAATCCGATGGTAACGGTTATATGTGACCCCAAGTCACTGTGCTGGTGATAAGTGTGCATTGAAAGCATAAAAAATCGTTTATACCATACATAACTAAACGAGGGCTAAGAAAAAAAGTCAATTTTTCAACTTTTTATTTTTGACATAAAAATGCACTTTTCTAGACGAGCTTTGTCCCAGGAATCTAGTGGTGCCATTTGTATTCACATGCGATGTTCAGAAGTGCCTCTAATTCGCGAAAATGCTTATGACGTCACCATGCCCTATGCATGTTGGAGCTATTTTTTACAATTTGGGGGTCAAAAATCAAGATAGAAAGTTGAAATTTGGGACATCTAATGTTCTAATAGAGCTTTATAACATATATTCCGGTTTTTTGGAAATTCTCAAAATTTTGGATTTTATTAGCTGTTTTCCAAAAAAATATAGTTTTTTGAATTTTTAGGGGTAAAAAACGCATGTTATGGAAAATCCGAGATAGCCATTTTAAAGAACTCGTTGAGCTGCGTCTTTTCATGTCCTTAATTTGCAATTTGCTTAAAACCTCGATTTTTGGCGATTTTTCAAACATTTATCATTTTTTGACTGAAAACGCCATGTAGTTACATCACTAAAATCGATATATCTCAGAAATTTTTGAAAATTTTTTCTTAAAAATTGCACAGGAGACGTCAAATTGATGGGGGAGAAGGTATGCGAAGTTTCAAGTTGATAGCGCAAGCGGTTCATGAGTTATTCAAGAAAAACGGAGGGGGGGTCGGATCCGACCCCCCCCCCAGGCGGTCGCGGGTTAAAGGTAGTGTGCCACCTTTGAAAGATTTCCCATTTTATTTTTCCTAGGATAAGAAGCTTCTGTTTTTACCTAATATCGCAAAAAAATCAAAAATGGGCCTGGAATAGTGCCTTTTTCGCCTAAAAGTTAATCGGTTTTTAAATATGTATAACAACTGTAGTGGGCTCACCTGCAAACAGGCGTCGGGCAACAATCGCGAATGCGGCGCACTTGTGACAATAAGCAAAGGTCATTATAGTGTTACGACCATACGACGTACGGGAATGAGTTATCAGCTGTCTAATCGTAGACAACACAATGTCGAGCCTTAAACTGTAAACCCGTATTGGTACTGTTTCTTTTATTTGGCTGTCGAACATTATTTATGGTTTGAAATATGATTTTATGTAAAATAATTGATATGAAAAAGCCGTCTTATAAGTTATGACCAGTTATGACCCCATTTCACCACACGCAAGTGGCAGAAATGACAATGATTAGCTGACGCATTTTTATTGGCCGAAGTCAGAGCGCGCGGCCCGACGCACCACGCGTGTTTGGAAATTCCGACCTCGACGAGCATCAGAAGCCACCTAACAGGCGTGTTCGAAACCGCAGGAGATGATGATGAACGGGTTTATCGAAACTTGATTGGATGAGCATATCGGTAATAGCGATTTCAGTGTGTGCATTTATTGTTCATAGTGGTGTGAAATGTGGTTGGGGTACGACCGACAACCCGTCGGGGCGAATTTCGCACTGGGGTACTCAAAATTTGAAGAATTTAAGACGTTTCCATGAGTTTTGAAGGTATGGATAAGTTCTAAAAATCCGGTTCTCCTTATCTGGGCCATTAACTCCATACGGTCCAAGAAAGCTGGCACACTACCTTTAATGGTGAGGTTACGAAAATGACCTGACCTCATATGACCTTAAGGAAAAATCCGAGATATACAAGTTGTGAGACTCCTAATGGATACTAGATCCTGCAAGTTTCATTTCCCTGTGAAAGCTCCTCTGGCTGTGAGGGCGTTGCGAAGTTGCGACATCTGAAGACCGTGCAGAGGTTCACTTATGCCGTCATAGGTCAGTGACCTGACCTGACTCGAAAATGCGGTTGGTGTCAAAAGATCCGGCTTGAATCAAAGTTTAGGTATGCCAAGTTTCAGCTCTCTATCGCCAGTGTGTTCGGGGCTATCGCGAAAAACCCCATGGGGAGCGACACCGCCCCCTCCCCTCGGCCGGCGAGGGATATACGATATTGTGTCAGTGTTTATCGGGAAGTAAAAAAGGTGAAAATTTATGCCTAGTCCTTATATCTATGCTGCATGCAGGGCAACGAGATGCGAACATGTTCATCTGAAAGTTCCCAAATAGGCAATATCAAATGGCAGTTAGGTACAATATGTTATAAAACTATACCAGGGTCATTTCATGCCAACTAAACCACTGGTGTACACGGTACCACCTCAGATGTTAACGAAAATAATTGATAAGGGGCTCTTCACCGCCCTGATTCCGAATATCGGACCTAAATTGGTCTCAAGTCAACAATGTAGCAGGTAGCTGTTACAGTTACGTCAGTTTATGACGTCATGCGGTGTTCAACAATATTCGAGGCGACTTTTTCCGAAAGTTGATGAGATATTTGAAATCGGTCAACGGTGTTAAACATTTGATTTATCCATGTAATTTGTGCTATGCTTTTTATTTCAAATGTTTGAAGATTTTTATATATATAAGATATATAAGCGAACCAAGTTAAATAGACATCAGCATTACTTCTCAGATGTTCAAATGGGTCCTTAACCCGCGCGGGGCTGGGGGGGGGGGGGTAAATTTTACCCCCCCTGTTATCTCCCGAACTAATGGTCCGATTTGGAAAATTCAAACGCCAATCGAAAGCTCTCATCACGAACTACTAAAAACATGTACTTAATTTAAAGTTTGAGGTCAAGGTCAAGGTCAGGTCAAGGGTACAAATTGCAAGTTTCTACAGTATCGGCCTTGCACCGTAGTTGCCGAAGAATGGAGTCATGGACTGAGACTGATCGCCCAAAACGTGTTCTTAGGCTACCAAGACAATATTCGTTGCATACAATATCATTCAGAGGTCAAGGTCAAGGTCAGGTCAGGTCAGGTCAGGTCACCAAAAAACAAAATATAGAAAAGGGCATGTGCGACACATGTTTTATGGGTCATTTTACTCATAGAATTCAATAGGCACACTCAATAAGTGATATGGACCACCTCTGGATGAATTTCAGGTCGAGGTCAGGTCAAGGTCAGGTCAAGTGAGGTCAAATTTTGAAGTTGGTTGTTAAGGCCTAAAAAGGTGTCTATCTGATGCCGTTTTTCACGGCGAATCGAATGGTGCTATTTTTGTTTCCGTACGAGGTCTAGAACTTCCAAAAAATTCATTTTTCAAAAAAATTGTGTGTCGTGACGTCATAAAATTTTGAATAACTCCCACATTTTTGAACCGATTCTTCTAAAATTTGGTATGTAGGTGCACATAGACCACTTCTCTGACATATATTCTGGTTTTATCGATAGACTCAAAATTTTGGATTTTATAATAATTTTCCCAAAAAAGTCAGTTTTTTGAAAAAAATTAGGCCAAAATCCAAAATTTTCAAAAAACGAGATAGCCATTTGATAGACAAAGTAAAATTACGTATAACCTTTTATGTTACGTCTTGATTCCTTTAAAAATGAAGATGTTAGCGGCGTTTGAACTTTTGCCGTTTTTGAGGCGAAAATGGTGAACATGACGTCACTAAAACGTCAATTTCTCAAAAAGTTTCCGACGGATTTCGCTCAAATTATCAGGGAACGTGTCAAATTGATGTAAGAAAAGGTACTGAAAGTTTGGCGGCGCTGCGCGCCGCCGTTTTTGAGATATCGCAAAAATTCGCGAGGGGGGGGGGTAAAATTTACCCCCCCAGCCCCGCGCGGGTTAAATCGAAATCAGTTCCAAAAGCTACCATAAAAACTTGATAAGCTGGAAAGTGAACCAAGGTCAATTGAGGTCAATGACTTTGACCTGACCTTCAGGTGACCTTGGTATCTATCATAATTTATTACGACGAGCATCAATTCACATGCTGGCACGTTTATAATCACGAATAGCCCGGAAACGTGACTCGGCGTCGGCCCGGACGGCGCCATAGTGCGTCCCAGTTCGCAGGGGAGAACGGGATACGTTAGGATATGTTGTTATTCGATGCCCATTATTCACCTCTGTGTCATGTTCACCTGCCCCTGCGTCCCGACATTTAAGGGTGTTTACGGCCAAAAGGAAAGCATTTCAATTTTCTCCCATTGACTTATAATGGAGAGGTCACAAAATTGGCCCCTGACCTTAGGTCACCGATACCGAAATTCTGAGACATGCACATTGTTGGTACTAATTGCCTCATGCAACAACCTAAGTTTCAAACTTCTGGGATGTATGTACATACATTGTAGGTACATATATACTGAAAAAAGGACTGAATAACAGTTTTTTTTAGAGGCATGGTCACTTCACCTGGTGACATGACCTTATGTGACCTTGGGTCAAAAATATTACACACAATGCGAAATTGATGTAGCATAAGCTACACCAAGTTTTGCGGACCTGTGCCCCGCGGTTTTCTTTGCACTCGCAAAAAAACTGGCAGGTGTGGCCAAAAACGCCCGGGTGGAGGGCATCCGGGCGATCATGATAAAAATTATGATTTAATTTAAAAAGTGCGTAGCAGCCTGGTGCATTTTTCCATCAGGCATATTTATCAAACGTCCACGGCGATGCGCTTATTAAGGACGGCTCTAATTATCGTCCAATTAACGCACAGTTAATGAGTTTTGCCTCTCAGCCACTCCAAAGTCCACCGCTACTCAGCGCCATACTTGTGTCGCCATCTATGCTAGTTGATGGGCCCTTCCACCTACCAGTTACCATAATGGTCTAACCCTCGCCAATGTAGGGGGGGGGGGGGGGTTGGTGCAACCCCCCCTGAGGTTTTTCTTAGCTACACGCCGAACCGTTTCAGATAGCCTGCTCAAATTTTCAGTACCCTATGGGGCATTCTTTGCGCAACTTTTGGTATTTTTTTGTCAAGGTCATGTCAGGTCACGGAGTTATGACGTCATAAAGGGAACAACCTCCGGCCAGATTTACGCTAAATTGGAGATTGCTTCACATTGGTATAAATGCCGACTGACCTGACACACTGATGGATTGTTTTAGAATCATGACTGGCTGATTTGACATTGGCACAATGTCCGTTGACCTTTTCAAGGTTACTAAAGGTCAAGGTCAGGTCAGTGACCTCGGTTGACCTGTAATGACTTCTTGCACTTGTATGCCTTTTCGGGGTATTTTGATGCCCTGAATTCGAATTTGCTATCCATTTCAAGCATCGTCGGTTGTTTCTTGTAGTCCATTTTGGGTCAGGGTCAGGTCAGTGACGTCACACGCCTGACGTGACCCAATGCGCAAATGACCTTGCAGACTTCCAATGCTCCCAACGCATCATTTTTAGAGTTATGACATCGAAATACACACCAAACGATAGAGAATTGATCAAGGATCACGATAGTGAAGGTTTCAAGTCGATATCTCTTACCGTTTTGCCGCAATCGGCGCGGAAATCTGAAAAAGTGAGATTTTTCCGAAAATTTGACCTTTGACCGGTCATAAGTAGGTCAAATGTTGACCTAGGACCAAAAAATATACCACCAATCGCGAGATCTCGTTGAGAGCAACCCGTTGGTTTTTCCGCTAAGCTCTACGACGCTCCGTTTTCAAACGCCAGGGGGGGGGGGGGTCGCACCACCACCCCCCTGCATGGGCGAAGGTGGCAAAACACCGTTTACGGGCGAGGGCTAATGTATAATTCGCATTGTGTTTTGTAAAATAATGTGTACTCACTGCCTTGGACTGCTCATTTCAGCTAAGGGCCAGCATATGAATGCATGTGAAAGTGCGATCCTGCCATAGATGATCCCACGGTGAATTCGGTTTTCCGGCAGTGCTAAGTTAACGCAGTTCGTAGCTACAGCTATGGTCTAAGACCATTCCTGGTCAGTGCGGTTGGCCCTGGCCTCCCAATTTCGCCCGCGGCGGACAGCTGTGAATGGACATTGGTCAAGTTTGTGCTGAAGGTGCAAGGAAACGGTCTCGGTGCAGTGGTCTGGGAAGTTCGTGGGAAAGAGCACGGCACTCTGCTGCGAAACTACACATGGCGTCCCTCGGCCTCTCAGACTCCCTCCACACCACCGCGTATGCCGTGAACGGCATACGGTGCTGAATCGATGTGAATCGGCGATGTCATGGCGAAGGTCTGGGAAGGACAATGATTGGTAAGGTTGTATTTCCTGAAAATCGTGTTGACCACAAGTGCTCCCAACTCTCATCCAATCTCAATTCAATGTCGAAACATCTTGCTAAATGCATAGGAAACTCGATTTTAAACATAATACAACATACATTCTCTGGCAATGGCGAGAGCTACCTAAAATACATTGCATGAAATATCCAAAAACAGAACACCATGCACTCATGATGAGTTGTTGTTGGTTACAAGAAAATATCTATTGCGCAGTTACCCCCCAATGGACTTCCACATAGAAGGCCCATTAAATATTTATTCGAATATCTATATGTAAATCGATTTTAATTATACATCCATGAAATTTGTACAGAGTATTGGTTGAACTCCGTTAATATATCACAGGGTTGTGTTAAAATTTTATCGGGTATCCACCAGTGCAGGTGAGTGACAAGATGTGGGTTTGTTTGATTATCCAAAGTTTGTCAAGGTGATGGCTGATTAGCCGCCTTGGTGTGCGAAGGCAAAGTTTCTTAATCAAGAAGAGGACGTCTCATTTAAATATGATGCTCCGAATGCCTTGGAGCGGACTCTGCGTATTTATCAGGCCTCTCCGAACACTGCTGAAGGCTTGAGCAGTGAGTTATCCAATTTAAAAAAGTGATTAGCAACTTTCAGAGAAGAAGGCGAATATAAGTGGACAGATTTAGAAAGTAACTCGAGATTAAGCGAGCTACGCAGTGAATTATGGAAGCGTTGGAAAAATAAAGTCTAAGCCTGCTTTGATATTGGCGCCTTCCGAAATTCCCACTCCATAACTCGACTGAAGGATCGCTGCTCTTATCTAAGGTCACTTCCTTCAGGCACCACTACCTCTCCTTTCCTGGCCGCTGCCCGCTTCAGTCCAGTTTGCGCACGCTGGTGAGGCGGTAGCAGCTGCCGCTGGCGGTCCGCTTGGTCTCCAGCCGGTACTCGGTCTTGTGCTCGGGACAGTAGACGTTCTCGACGTCGTGGAACTCGCTGCCTCCCTGCAGGCGGCCCGAGGCGCTGGCGCAGCGTGGTCCGCGCGCCTCCATCGCCGCCTTGTACGACTTGGCGTAGAGGACGGACATGTCGCGCGTGTGGACCACGGGCGGGTAGTGGCCGGCCGGCCGGCCCTCGGCACGGTGCTGGCGCCGCTTCTCCGCCAGCCAGCACTCGTAGGCGCGCTCACTGGCGGCGCGCGACCGCTTCTGCACCAGCTGGCGGCGCTCCTTGCGCTGCAGCCGATACCGGCGCCTCTCCATCTTCAGCTGCTGCTTCTTGTACTGCAGCCACGTGCAGAACGCCTCCTGGGCCTTCTTCTGTCGGACGGCGTCCTGGCGCCGCTTCTTGGCCGCCTCGTGCGACTTGGGCTGCTCTTTGCGCTTTTCGTAGTCGGCCGTCACCCAGGCCTTGTAGTAGGCGTTCATCTCATCGATGGTCGCCTTGTTCTTGTTCTTTGCCGCCAGCTCCGCCTCAGCCTTCTTCCTCCTCTCGCGAAGGATGTCCTTGAACTTCTTCTCATACTGCATCGATATGTCACCAGCGACATCGACCTCTCCAGCATCGCCCGCGGGCGGTGGAGGCGGCGCGGACTTCTTCTTGGGCTTGGGTTTCGGCGGCGGCGGCGGCGGCGCTTCCTCCGCCTCGTCCTCCCCTCCTCCTCCTTCCTCCGCCTCCCCTCCGTCGGCCTCCTTGGTGTCCGAGGTGGTGGTGGGGCTCGAGTCGGGGCTGCCGTCGGTGGTCGAAGACTCCTTCTTCACGGAGCTGCTCGACTCGGAGGTGCTGGCCGACCCGGAGGCGGCGCCGCTCGTTGTGTCCTCCGTGGAGCCGGTCCCGGCCGTCGAGGTCGTCTTGATCTCCGACTCCGTGGTCGGCACTTCGGTGGATGGGAGCTCGCTGTCCGCCTCATCGTTGATCGATGGCGTAGACATGGCTGGCTCTGCGGACAAATAGCTCGAATCTGTTCAAACATGATCCTCTAGGCTCTAGGCATATATTGTTTCGTTGGAAGCAATCGTTTGACGATTTATGTTAAAGTGTTTGATTTCAAATGCATTTTATGGTTCGTCAATATTATCTAAAAAAACTGTAGTTTATGAAATAGGTGAATCATTGAATGGATTGCACGATATAAGCCATAATTGAGCATAAACACCAACTATACAATACAGCTTCTTTAATTATCATAAGAAAATAAGTAATAACCCTATGTTTTAAAGTTTAACACACTTTACTATCAATGCTTATTGCTTATCTATCCATATACCCACAAGCTTTTTAAATCCCGCTCAAGATTTTAACCCCCGCCCCTGAAGCATTGCTACCAATTCTTTCACAAATCGGTCTTACCTTTTCAATAAATGTTTTACATGTGAGCTGGAAATTTCGTCTGGGATTTTCTGATAATAAACTACGACATTATGATGGTATAAAAACCAAACAATATCAACTAAACAATTTATCCACAGCAAATTTAGATACTTCACACTCCAATTTTGACAGGTAATCGGCACTGAATTTTTGTCGAAATGGACTGGTAATGAAATTGAATTTTGATTTACGAAATGCATGCCCGAGTGCACCTGTCTATCCTTCACAGTGGAGATGCGTTCGGTCTATCTTTGTAGTGGCATGGGTGATGAGAGATTTAGCGCTCCAAATAATAGTATGTTTAGAGGAAAGATACCTTTTAACATGGCTGAAGGCCCTCTAGCATGGTTAGAGAGCTATTATCACAACAATTATAAAAATATTGGTCAGCATGCTGCCCGTACGGTCAATGGCGCTTTTAGCGTACCTATTGTTGCGGCCTATGTCGTAATGACTAATGCGTTACCTACTGAGATGATCCCGAAGAGTGAAGAATTTCGGAAGTGGAACAGCTGAGCATTGAGTGTTGCACTGTTGTATTGCATAATGCATTGTTGTACGGCTACGTAGCCTTGCTTGAGCATTAATTAACGTTTCGCAAGCACTCGTCATGAGTCATGACGGTGCTGACGCGTCATAAATTCGAAATCCGCAGCTATACTTTATTCGATAAGGCCGTATGCTTCCGTTCACTAGCCTATTTTAGTAAATCTGTATCCGTTGTTTATTATTCGCTTATAACGGATTTGCCAGTCTGCCCTAGTCTGTCTTCTTAGTCATCACACAGTTGGGCAGTTTCTAACTTCCCCTGGTGACCTGGCGAGCCCCGAATGACCAGCCAGCCGCCGCCCATTCGTCAGTATGCAGCCACCGCTGCCAGCCGGGCCCGCGCTGTCCAACTAGTTAGTGCCGGGCTGCTGCCCAGCCGACCGAGCGCAGGTGACCGACTGTTAGGCGCCTCGTCGACTTCGCTCGCCATGAATGGCGCACTTAGCTGCCGCTGACGTCTGCCCAAAGTGGCACTGGTCCAGCGGCCGGTGACAGCCGGGAGCCGCGCGTCCGCCGGCCGAATTGATGCCGCTCCACCCGGTCACGGAGTGTTGATCCCACACAGATGGAGCCCTGGCCGGCACATATTAAAGCTCGTCGTACGTGCTCACGGTGGCCGGGCGCCCGGCGCCGGTTCAGAAATAGTGAGCGGTAGAGCGCTGCGCCGCCCGCCGTGAGAGCCTGTCCGCCGGCCCGGCCCCGGTGGAACCCCGGGCCGGGCGAGTCACCAGCCGCCGGCAGCGACATCGGCAGGGAAGTGTTCTATCCATCATCAGTCGGTGACGGCTGGGGGGAGGGAGCTGATTCCAGTCAGACGAGTATTTTACCCAATGTTTTCAACGTGTGTTAGTAAACGTTTGACAGATGTTTTAATATTTTGACGATAACCCTGATTTAATTTGACTATCAACACCAGCTATTTTATTGACGATGTTTACCGAGATCTGAAACATTTAAGAGTCGGTACCGTCTATCGAAATGTTTCACTTTTTAGATTGTCTGTCTTTTTACGAAAAGACTTAAGTCGGTCTTAAATCGGTCGATTGACCTTGTATGATTTACGAGCAAAACAACATCATTTGGTTTTGCGCAAAAAGCCCTAAGACATATGTAGTTCCGAGAAAATGGCTTCCATATACAGCTTCGGCTCATTTTCTGAGTTAAAATGCAACTAGATCCCGCCTTTGAAGGAGTGAAGTCGCATCGGTCCTAAAAAAACTGATGCGATAACATCGAAACCACGTAAGTGACATTGTATATCGACATGTGGCGTAATTCATGCGTTTTTTAAATGGGACGCTGTAGACTGAACTTTAATAAAATATTTACTTTTACTTTATGTTCTAACGACAAAAATTTCCGTTGAAATCACCAAAAAGTTGTCTATGACAAAGCAAGTCGATTCGCTATTGCCATCATAGGCGGAGACAGTGGACGGGAAAGCTAACAGACACGCGAACAGTGAATTACACAAGAACCGTTTTCATGATAGGTAACTGGTACACAATTGGTAGACATTTGGTCCAGATACGGTGCCGATTTGATCAAATTATCAGACATTATTTTCGATTAAAACACTGAAATAGGTATATGATATGAAGATATGAAAAAGAGATTTGGTGCAAATTTGGTCACTGTTTGATGCATTCGCCAGATCACCTGTCATGAAAACGATTAAGGAGTCCTTTTACACCCTCTCACGGCAGTGTGATTCGTTACAATACAAAACTGAAGGCCCACCTTTCACACAACGACAGGCTGACCAGAAGATGGATCGGTCTGGGATGCCATTTAATGCAGCCGCTCTGGTATTGGCGCCGTCCCTTTGGAGTGCTATTTCAGTATACAGCATAGGCATTATGGTATACGTGCATATTATGAACGAAATATTGGAGTAAATACATTCGTTTCTGGCGCAGAGGAGAGGATATTGGCCTCTAAACATTTTTAATTATCGCACACTTTATTCAAAATGTCATTGATCATTTTCCATCAATATAATATGCGCGAAGCTCATTGCTCATTTGCATGCATATTGCGTATGCTCTTTACTATTTTGACAATATTGTTTTGAGTAAAATCCATTAGCGTGCTGGAATAAGGCACGAAGCCTGAGTTGCATAGTTTATTGATGAACGTGGCCAAACAGTGACAGATGAAAATGATATTTTGTACGTCATTTTGGAAGATTAGGATATACTGGTGAGCTGCTTCTTATTTAGATGCTCACATATTGCGACTCTGTACCATCGGTCCTTCAAATGGAAGTTCGTCAGTTTAAGGTAAATGTATGGATGGTGATGGTTATAGTTGGAAGCATTGCAGTATATTGCGTAAATTGCGTTTCCGCAGCTGCTCTAGATATAACGAGTCTTGGCTGAAAGCTGAATAAAGCAATAATTTCATTTCTTTGCCAGATCAAGAGACGTAATTTCTCGCCATGCAGCATGTGTCGCCGACAGGTTTCCAAGAACACACTGGCCAAGTTTGGCCATTACCGTATGATAGGTTCCTCGTGGGTGGACGCCCTGATGGGCCCACCGGTCCCAGTAAAACCCTCCAGATCCCTCCGGCCGCCCTGGTCTTCTCCACCCACCTGCGGTCAACGTTCGTGACCTGGCAGACACCAGAAAAACGGCGACGGGACGGGACGATGACAGCAGCCGCGGCGCGGTGTCCCTGGCACTCCGTGTGGGGTCTGGCAGTCGGCGGCCGCATATAGGTGGGCGTCTCGGCGGCGGCTGTGGCCTGCCCGATTCGGCGCGGCGCCGACAGGTCACGCTGGTACTGGACAGCTGCTGACGCGGTGAGGTCGACACTGAACGAGACGCGGCCACCGCCGCTGCTCTGTGAGTTCTTGGAATTCGGCTACTGTGTTCAACTGAAGCGCAGTTCAAAAGAAACCCAGAGTCCAGAGCTGAATACGACCAAGTTTATTTCATACCTTCCGTTGATTTGGCGTCCTGTTGTAAATGAAAGCGAACGCAAAGTTGACTTTTATAACAAAGAACCAGAATGAGGAATTTGAAAAATGAAAGATTGCATTTCTGTCGAGGAACTGTATGCTTTTCATTCAATGCAGGACATGGACTCTCAAAGGAACACGTCTTTTGGCACGGAAGAACACTAAACGGGTTTCATCATTGCATTTGTATAGTGAAACCACACAAAAAAGAGCATACAAAGAAAAACTTTTTGTCGATAAACACGTAACTGTTAAAAAGCAGTTGCCTGTATTTCACACTGACGGACCTCTGAAAGCTTCAGCAAATATGTTAGTTTTAACAACACCTACCAACATCTCGGTTAATTACAAATAGTTATGTAAATTGTAAGCACATTTAACAATGTGTATTTTGCTAAGGAAAACCTTGTCGGACTGATACGTCTTCTCGGATTCCATTCCATTCCATATGTACCTGCATAGCGGAAATAGCAAATCGTAAGCTATAACCTGTATGGAATGAACGTTAACGCAAGAATTATAGTTCGTTTTTTTTTTTCAAAAGGACGCTGGCTCCAAGTTCCTTATCGAACCTCTCACGTGAGTTTTGGCAGCTTCAGCGTCTGGCCAAGAATTTCTTACCGAAAAAATATTCGATTTCAAATTGTGCACGGTAAGTACCCGGAAATTGTGTCTGGAAAAATTAGCATACTATGATGACGTCACTGGTGGCAGCAGGCACCCAATGTCCGTACGATGGGACAAAGTTTCGACGGTTTTGGGGGAAACTTCGTTTTTCACTGTTGCCGAGGTTATAATCGAGTAAGCGGTTTCGTCCATGATAGTTATACGTTACATTGCAATACAAGTTTGACAGCATGACGTCACCACTGTTCCCATATCTGGTTCCAAAATGCACGTATGAAAATTATTGGGAATATTTCACATGTTAAAATAAGGCGACGTTCGAGTTTCTCAGGTTCAGTTTTTGCTCGTTTTGGTCGCCAAAACGCGTGCTTTTTCGAAAAACGTACTTGGAGCCAGAGTCCTTTTGAAAAAAAACGAACTATAGCATCGATTTTCCATTTCCATCGGTGCATTGAACGGTAAACTCATCTGCGCATTGCTGTCACCGACCGATAAGCTGGAAGCCAAGGTCGCAGGTATAACTGAGTGCCACATAAAAGTTTTATCTCCAGCTTCCAAACCAAAGCGGATGACAGCGAACGTACTCGAGGTCATATTCCGACGCATGCGAGGTACAAAATCCGATGGTACCGTACGATCCCAGGAATTTGACTCTTTTTTTAACGTGGTAGAGTGGCAAGACTATTTGTATTTAATGATCGTTGTCAGAAGTAAACAGAGTCTCGAAGTACATAGGTACGTTATACAATATACAAGTGAAATGTGAATTGGGTTTAGGTTAAAGCTAGAATTTCTTATCCATGGAATTATGCACTTATCAATATATTCACTAATGGTACGAATGTTGGAGCATTACGACAAGTAAGTGTTGTTTCACTTCCTTTGTTTACTTCTGCTTGTGTTGACACCTGTCTTATCAATAGATACCTGAGTTACCGTATTATTGATAGTCGCTCCCCAGTCTGTGGTCGGCTGGTAACCGCTCTGTCGATTTTTCTCGGTCAAACGACCGTAGCCGACTGGGAATCCCTATTTAGTGTTTAAAACACACGACAGCCGCTACTGCCGTCCTCCAAACACGGTTCTACAGACGGCACAGAGGGCGGAGGGCACACAGCTCCTGTGGTACAGGACCCCCGCCCCGGCGACTGGCTCATTACCTGTGCCGTACAGGCCAAACAACAATGGCACAATGCACAA